ATACTAGGCTTACAGGCATTAGCCACCACGCCCAGCCTGGAATAGACATTTTAAATGACATTTGAAACAGGCCTTGAAAAGATGGACAGGACTTTGACAGGTAGAACTATCAGAGGAGGGAATTCCAGGAAGTGGGAGCGACATAAACAAGCGTTGGAGGCAGGAGAGTTTCTAGCATGTTTGGAAAAGAGCTTGGAGTTCCGTTTGGCTGGAACATCGGGAAATGAATAACGAGTAATGATAATTGAGGTTGTAGAGGAGCATTTGGACCACAGAGCATGAGGAGTTGGCATTTAATTCATAGGCAATGGGGAGCCAATGAATGTTTTTTGGAAAGAGTGACGCCATTAAACCTGCATTTAAGAAAATGAATCTGGCTGAAACGTGCAGGATTAGAGAGCTCTGCAGCCTGGGAGCAGGGAGAGATGACGGCCTGGACTGGGAGGAGATCCCCGTGGGAGGTGAGAGCTTTCTGAGTCCTGGATAAATAGTAGAAGTGGACTGTGGAAAGTGCACTGGGGCTCAGTCACAGCTTGGCTGGTCACCTTGGACAAGTCATGCATGCTCTCTGGTTACGGTGGCCTCATTGTAAGGTGCGTGATCCAGTGATGGGTGCTGGGAAATCTTCCCATGGCTCAACTCTCAGCCTAAGGAGACTCCCGCAGGCCCATGAATCTTGCGGGTGCCGAGGGGTGTCTTGTGCTCCGACCCTTGCCCCATCCCCTGCTCCCTTCCCCGCCCCTCTGGGAGACCAGAGCCCAGTCAGGCTCCTCCAGAGCTGTGAGCAGTCTTAATTGTTGCACATTAACTTTCACCTCGATCTTACTTTAGAATTCTGTGAATATTTATGAGCGAGCTCTTGCTTAATGAGGAGCAGAGCGGAGACATTAATGAGCTTTCTTTCCTGGTTGGGTTTAGGGATTTTTTTGGTGTTTGTTTCACATCTGTTATCTGAATTCCAGCTACCTTGTGTCTTTTTTTCCTCCTGGTTCCTCAGAGGTGAGAAGACACACTGCAACTTTTCACTGCTGCCATCCAGGCAGGATCTAAGCACACAAATGCGAAAGCTGAAGCAGTCCCACACTCTCAGGCGGGGGAGAGGGTAGCAGAGGGAGTGTGCATTTGTGTGTGCACACGTGTGAGCGTGTGCGGGTAAGAGGCTGTGCACGCACATGCGTGGCCACACATGGGGATGTGTGAGCTCTCCTGAGAGCAAGAAGGCCCAGCCTGGTTCACATGCAAACAAAAGCCACGAAAGCCACTTCTCTCTCGGGGAGGAGAGAAGAGATGAGGCAATCCCTCTTTCTTTTCTTGGGTCTCTTCTTTGCAGGAAAACGGTGCGACCTGTGGGGCTGGCTGGTCCTCCTCTGGGCCCTGTGCCTCAGGTGCCATCTCAGGACCTCCCCAGAAAGGGACAGCATCTGTGGCTTGCACTCCCGCCAGCGTGAGCCAACCAGGGCGGGGCTCTGAGACAGGAGGCCCCGACAGCCCTTGTGAAACCCAGGAGAAAGTGAGGAGGCTGATTGGCCGCGCCAGCCACGGCTTGGGGCAAGAAGGGAAACTTAGGGGACAATACACAGGTGTCGCCCCCACCCCGGAAGTCTGCAGAGCATCAGCAGTCCCCTCACTCCATCTGTTCCCCTGGGACATGTAGCCCAGTCTCTAAGCACCTGCAGTAAAGGCCTGGCAATTACGAATTGATAAATCAATAAGGAAAAAGCAGAGACGGCTCTCAGACAGGTGAAAACCCCTCCCTGGAATAATGTGAGGTTGTTTCTCCCCAGCTTCCCCTCAGCCTGTTAGCCACGAGGGACTCGCCAGCTCTCTCCACCTGACTCCCACCCGCTCTTAGCCTCTGATCCGATGTTAGCCACATTGCACGTCAGGGTATATTTGGCCAACGCCAGTGGGAATTTGTTCTCAAGGATTCCTGCTGGGGAGGAGGCCCCAGGTCCTGGCACAGGCAGATCTTCTCCGGTCCTCCAAGTCCTGCTCCTCCTTCCCCTCTGCCCAGAGATCACCCTTGCTCCAAATCTCCTCCCCATCCCAACCGCATGTTTTGTAGCAGCTTCACTGTCTAGAATCCACCAGCCCAAGAGAGAAGTTCGTGATGCTCAGCTCTAGACCCTGGCCGACAAGACAGCTGCCTCATAACAGTGGGTGTGTGTGTGTGTTTGTACACACGCACACGTGCCTGTAGGAACAGCTCACACCTGGCATTAGGCTAACCTGTCAGCCTTGATGTGGTTAACAGATGCTGGAGAACTAACATCAAAGAAAAAAAACTGGCTTTTTGGCATAAAAGTCAAACTAATCACAGCTCCGTATGAGTGCTCTTCACTATTTATGTCCAATCACATATGCACGGTGGCTGTTTTGCACATTACTGATGTGATAGATCATTTCTATTGCAGGTTTCGCTTGATTACAACACTGAATTCTGTGTCCAGGTTCTCAGCTTTCTATCACTCATGAAGTGTTGTGATCTGCTCCCAACTTTTTTCATGCAGTTGAGTTTTGTTAGGAATGTGAGACATGGTCTTTTTTCATTGAAAAATGCAGAGGACCAGAAGACAGAAAAGGGTGGAGCAGTAGGAAGAAAATAACCATAGTCTGATCACTCAAACTCAGCCACTATCGACATTGTGGTGTTTGGTGTTCATCTTTTCTAGTCATTTTTCCTTTGCGTAATTTAATTAGATAACTCCCCCAGAGTAAGTCATCTGGGTCAGTATCTGGTCTGTGCTATAATAAACAATGCTGTGTTAAGCATTTTTATGCGTTTACCTCTGAACGACATCCAGGTGAAATTTGGGGGCCACTTTTGGTCTTGGACATTTTAAACCTCTTGATGAACATTGCAAGTCACTTTTCCAAAGAGTTGCACCGGCTGGCCGTGTGTGAGAGTGCACGTTTCAATGCGTCCACCAGAACTATTTTCTCATTTCTTTCCCTAATTTTTACTAATTTGATGGAATGACAGTACTTCCTCGCTGCCTTAATTCACATTTTTTAGTAAATAGTGGGGTTAGAGATTTTTTCATGTGTTTATTGCCTATTTGCGGTGTTCACAACATTCAAAAATTAGGGGAAAAGCATTGATTTGTGCAGGGATGTGCGCGTCTGGGTGTGCAGGGAGCTGCGCTCTGTGTGTGTGTGCAACCGTGCAGGTGTGTCTCAGAGATGAGATGCTCCCATTTGTGTGTCTGTAGGTGTGAGCACTCGCAGTTGTGACATGTGTTGATATTTAGACTCCCTGAGCCTCAGCTTCCTCATCTATAAAATGGGAATATGGAGTATCCATAGCACCTACCTCATTGACTCTTGTAAGGGTTAAGGCTGATGACTCATGAGCTCTTGGTGCCTGGCATGGAGTTAGTGCTGAGGAGGCTTAGGTGTTACGAGTCCCACGGTGGCTCCGGCCTCCCTCTGTCTTCCCCTCACTTCCTCCCTGGGGTCCTGGGAGGAGCTGCTGGCAGTGGAAGTAGGGGCTGAGCAGCTTCCCAGGGAGGGATTTTTGGTGTGTAGGAATATCCAGGAAAGCCCAGAAATGCCTTCCCACCTTCTGTCTCAGCCTCTCCAAGGAGGAGAGCTTATGAACTGCACGTATGATGTGTCAAAGAAAACCACAGCTGGACAGGAGTTGACATAGTAAACGCATTTTATTCAGGACTGTTGCAATCGGGAAAGAAACCTCAGTATGAAACTCTGCTCGATGCTGAGTACAATGAGGAAAAGTGAGAATTTAGCGCCAGTGAGCAGGGTGGGGAGTGTAGGTGTGTGACAGTCACTAAGAGGAAGCATCAGGAGTGGGGGGCTCTGGCTAAACGGCCTCACAAGATTCTGCTGAAGGCAGGCCTGGGGGTCAGACCTCACCAGGGATGGCAGGGAGTGAGGAAGTCATCAGATACCAACTTAGCAGGATTCTTACCAAAATTGGGCAATACAAAGACAAACACAGAAGTCCAAAAGTCAAGGCCTAATTGGGAACAGGGTTCAGAGAAGCCTGACTGAGGTCTGGTCAAGGAGAGACTTTTCATCACATGAAGGGAAATGACCAATCAGAAGGAGCCAGGGAAGGAAGGACAGCATCACTGTGCTATTAGAAATGAAATTTTCGAAGGGGCAAAGGGGCTGGACCGGGCAGCAGAGGGCTGGCGATGGCGCAGGAGGCAGTCCCCAACGTGCCCAGTGCAGTCTGGGTGCACCCCCCACCCCCACGGGTTCCAGTCCAGGCTCTACCTACAGTGCCCTGGGGGGTCCAGCAAGCCACCGCACCCGCCTGGGCACGCTCTGTCTCTCCTGCCAAAGAAAGAGGGCCGCTGCCTCCTCGCAGGCAAGAGGAGGCCACACCCACCAAAAGTCTGCCCGCTGCTTTGTGTTCTTTGTCACAAAGGTACCACGGGAGCCAAGGTACAAACTAGCCAGGTATTCTGCCATATTCTGCCATGGTATTCTGCCATTCGATAGAAATGTCAGGGCACCAGGCCTCCCTGATACGGCTGAGCAGACACCTCGCAGGGACGCAGGTGGAGAAGATGAGTAAGCACACGCCTTATTCAGGCAGAGCTGGTGCCGTGGAGCTAGACGGCCATGGGGGTGCCAGGCTCCAGCCCGGCACCTGCGCCTGTGTCCCCTACGCCAGCAGGACATCCGAAGAAACGGGGGACTTTATGCTAGTCTCAGCCTTCTGCCAATGACGTCCCCGCTCCTAAAGCTGGTCTTTACCCCAGCAATCGGGGTTTCTTTGGTGCTTGGGTCTCTGCTTTAAGCGTTTGTTAAAATGAGATTAATCGGAATGATAAGAAAATAAGATGACGCAGGCACCTCGATTACTCATCTCTCAGTGACACAGACACAAGCCTCAGACGGCGTGTGTCTAGTGACGCCCACCGCGGCAGCGGCCCCCTGCCTGTTTGGCACCGGGGGCTGTTTTCATGGAAGACAATTTTTCCACAGACCAGAGTGGAGGGGGGGGGGATGGTTTCGGGATGATTCAGGCACGTTGCGTTTCTTGTGCCCTTTATTTCTATTATTATTACATTGTAATAGATAATGAGATAATTATACAGCTCACCATAGGCATAGGACCCCTGCACCTCGGTATAGGCAGAACTCACGCTAGACCAGGTCTGGTTCACAGGGATGTCACGGTGGATGCTGTTTTCTCTTCTCATGGTGTGGCATCTGCAGCAGTCCCCCTCCCAGACGTCCCCAGCAAACTTGGGGCTGCCGCGTCTAGGCCCTGCCTCAGTTGCTGCTGCTACCTCTGTCCTGGAGCTTCCCGTGCCGCAGTGTAATTTATCAGTTTATTTGTCGGGCTCCTCCACGCGTCTGCACTTGGCTAAGATAAGCATGGTGCCTTCAGTGTTTCATCTCTCTGCACCTGGTGTCAGTGCAAGGCCTGGCCACGGCATACGTGAGGACATGTCTATTTGTGTCCGATGGTTACATATCTGTCTTGGATTGTGGGCTTCCTGAGGGCAGGACCATTTCCATTATTTGCCTTTGTGGCTGAAGACCTGCCCTAGGGCCCAGCACATCACAACTGCGCAGTCAGCAAATTGCGTAGAAGCTCAGAGAGATTGCCAGTGTGCCGGTGGGGTGGGGACCCTCAGCAGAAGGAGGTGTTGTGTATAAAGCACTTAGCACAGTGCCTGAAAAAGCATGGGCACCCACTGAACACTATCATCGTTACCTCGGGCAAGTCACTGGGTACCTCTGAGCCCGTTCCTCCTCTACAGAATGGGAGGGGAATCCTAGTGCCACAGGACTCGAGGGGGAGCGAAGGGTGGCCATGGCAAGGCCTGCCTGGCTGGGGAAAACCAGAGCAGAGCCTCTGCACCTGGCACAGGTGTGTGACCCGGTGGCCCTGCGGTGGCTGGACAAACCTGAGACAACTAGAGCCTCGAGCTGCTCACCTCTGGCCACAGACGGCCACCCTGTTGACCCACCGTCCTGAACAAACATTGCGGTTTTCCGCACGTGCTATGACGGGAAGAGGGTGCAGAGGCTCTGGCCTGGGCCGGGCAGGCCCCGCTCAGGGAGAAGGGGCTTGGCTTCGGCTCTGATGCTCAGCCTCCGCGTTGCCATGGCTCCTTTCTGACTCTTCATGTATTTTTTAAAAATACATAATTTCCTAAAGGGAAATTAAATTGGATTGTGCATTAATTTGAGGGACTGGAGACTGATAGGGCTGGTACCAGAACTGCTGGCTTCTGATCCTTGCTAAAGTTCCAAGAGTGACCTGAGGGGCTCCTGTGACCACGCTGTGACTCCTCCCCACTCACTCCCCCCACTCGGAGGGCGCCTGAGCCTCCAGGTGAGCTTCCTGCCTGCTCTTCTCCAGGGGAGAGGGGAAGAGGCTCCCAGAAGCCTGAGGTTAGTCACGTGAGGGTGCCCACTCCTGCCCACTCCTCCACCTTGGGACCTGACCCAGCTGGCCCTGTCCCCACCAGCTCTAGATGGCAGGGCTCATCCTGGTGGGCAGGGGCAGGGGATGCTGAGAGCGCATCTTCCTGGATGCCCCCAGAGCTGAGCAAGAGACATCCAAGGGATGGGACTGCAGTTGAGTGAGCAGCAGGGACTGTTCTCAGGCTCCTCCGCCACCCTGTCCCCAGCAGCCAGAGCGAGCAGGGCAGGGGCCTGGGCTCAGATACTCGTGTGAAGCGGGGCTGGGTTTGAGGCCTGGTTTGACTGCTTACAAGCTGGTGACCCCCATGAAGCTATGAAGCAAATGCATCCTAGTTTCATCTTCTACGAAAGGAGGATGCTAGGAGAATCTACTTCATTGGGCCCTTGTGGAGATTAAAATAAAGGTCCAAGAGAATAAAGTGCTTCGTGCAGTGCTTGGCATGCAATAAGCACTCACAAAACATGCACTGCCCTTATTTTTCTGATTGCCTACTTTGTGCAAGGACTCTGCCCCTGCTCACACTGGACAAAAGCCACTTTACAGTCCAGTGGCTCCTTCACACTGTGGCCCCCAGCACTTATACCGTCCCGCTGCCCCGTGTTTGGTGGGTCCCCAGGAACCCCACCATCACTCTGCATTTCCCCTAACGCCCCGTGCAGGGTGCAGCACCGAAATCCCTGCGGAGCTGAGCTGGAGGGTGTGGAAACCAGCTCCACCAGCACTGGCCAGGGACCAGGAGTTGGTCGTGACCCTCATCCTCCTTCTTTTTACCCCTGCTGGCCAAGACCAGCTGGACAGGCCCTTCCCTTCACAGCAATGGCATCTCTCCCTGAGCATCTGCCAGGAGCCATGGCAGCACCCAAAAGTCTCATCCTGTCCAGCCCCACTCCGGTCCTGTTAGCATCGCCCCCAGCCTTCAATGACAAGACTGAGACTCGGAGAGACTGACCTGCCGGGCATTACACCACAAGTAGCAGAGCCAGGGACATCTCACCTGTTCTTAATCACCACTCCGCACTGCCTCTAAGTCTGTTCTAGGCCAAGGAAGCAGGCAGGTGGGGAAGAAAGAAAAAAATATCTGACCCTAAATTCTCTAGGCCCCAAGCTCTCAAAGAAAATTGCTAATGTTACTCACCTATTCCCAGTGAGTAACATCTCTCCAGGGGAAGTTTAAAATAGAACTTTAGTCATCCCTTAATGGAGCCAATTGATTTTTAAAAATAATTAAACCTCAGCCTCATGTAGGCAAGTCTGACTATGGGTGCTAATGGGAGAGAGCAAAGGTACAGATAGTCCCTTCCCTACAAGTGGGTGATCCTAAGAGTGCATGACTTGGGAATTCAATGGGCAGTGTTCACCCAGGGACCTGCAAATGCATACTCAAACCTCTGGAGTGACTCACCCTCTCACCCTTCCATCAACCACCCCTTAGCCAGTCCCCCCAGCCAAACCTAGTACCCAGTTAACAGAGGGAAGGACAGCTCACAGATAACCTAGTCGTCATTCATTCAGTGTATTTCTTGAGTCAGCATTCCCAGTTTGGGTAGCAAGTAGTAAAAATATATCCACTTTCATATTTGTGTAGTATTTTCTGGTTTTGTCTAAATTCCTTGACGTCTCTTATTCCATTCTACCCTCACTATAACACCATGAACCAAGGCCATATGAATAAAACACTGAGCCCGGACCTGGCACATCATCGTCCCGCTCGGTGTCAGTCCTCTGTCTCTCCTCTGTACAAGTAATGCAGGGATCACGGAGCCTGTTGAGCAAGAGGGGAAAGTAAGGCACAGATAGGAAGATGATTCGCTGAGCTCACATGTCTGGACAAAGACAGAACCAGGACCTCCCTCCAAATCACACTGTTCGGATCCCCCTCCCCTTACTCAGCAGTTTTATACAGATAAAACCTAATGAAGTGCAATATATATTTTTTTGAGACAGTCTCGCTTTGTTGCCCAGGCTAGAGTGCCGTGGCGTCAGCCTAGCTCACAGCAACCTCAAACTCCTTGGCTCAAGCAATCCTTCTGCCTCAGCCTTCCAAGTAGCTGGGACTACAGGCATGCACCACCATGCCTGGATAATTATTTTTCTATATATATTAGTTGGCCAATTAATTTCTTTCTATTTATAGTAAAGACGGGGTCTCCCTCTTGCTCAGGCTGGTTTCAAACTCCTGACCTTGAGCGATCCACCCACCTTGGCCTCCCAGAGTGCTAGGATTACTGGCGTGAGCCACCGCATCCAGCCTGAAGTGGAATATTGACCATAGTGTTGGGGAGATGCCACAGCAGCTAGGCGTGTGCCAGCCTGCCTGAGGCCCTGCAGCCAGCCAGGTGACAGGCAGAGGCTAGAGGGACTGTACATCCTGAGACCAATTATTTTAGCCCACAGTTATTGGCCTCCTTTTACAGCTGCCGCAGCCCCTCGCAGCAAAAACCCCAATTTGTTGGATTCCCAGTGAGAGTTCCTGTTCTTTGCCCTCCTCCCCGGAAAAAAGAAAACAGACTCTGGAAAAAAATATGGCCAAGTTTTACACTTATGTTATGCTACTTAGTGGAGCACTCCTTTGCCTTTTCTGTTATTAAAGCCCTGGGCTGACAGCCGCAAACCAGCTCCTTGGGGTCCTGGGAGGCTGCTCCATCCTCACCCTTCACAGGCATGACTGTAAGAAACACTGAATTTGCTGTTCGTTCCAGGGCTGGAGAGAGGCATTTTCCACCTCCCTGGGCTCAACTAATTGGCTATAGATTCTCACCGAGAAGAGGAGTAGCACTCAGACACCTGCCGTCTCTCCAGCCAGAGTGGGAGCTTGGCGAGAAGGTCGAGATGTGTCAGCCTGTGCCCAGTGTGGGCTCCTGGGCGCAGCTTTTGGGCAAACAGGTGGATGGAGACCCAGCACAGCTTCTTCCTCTGCCCCTAAGAGTCCCAGCAACCGGGGCCTCTTTCTCAAGGTGTTCTGCCCCAGCATGCGGGACCTGCCCTCCGCCAGGTAGCTCAGGGCCCATTCTATAGGACTAAGAACTGAAAGAGAATAAATAGTCACTGGGTACAAGCACCTAACCTAGCCCCAAATCAGAAGAAGGGAAATAAGACCCAGAGGGGACAAGACACACAATCACTCACCCCATTTATTCTAGATGGAGCCACAAATAGATTCAGGAGGCCCCTCACACGCTGACCCCTTGATCATCTCCTGATCCCTGATTGTCGGCAGACAAGAGCCGGAGCAGGTCATCCATCTCTGATCTCAGTAATATCCTGTCCGCACTGGGCGATGCTGGACTAGGAAGCCGCTTCTTGCTTGAAATTTCCGGTGCTGCTTTTGGAGCCCAGGAGGGGGCTATAGAACCATTTGGCTGGTCCAGATATCAATCAGTGAACGAAGAGGGCCCTAGAGCAGGCTGGGCAGAGTGAGGAGCCAGCAAGAGGAACTATGTCTCTCTGGAGCCAGTGAACATCCCGAGGGCAGGGTGGGGACCCTGTTGTGATCATTTTTGAGTCCCCGGCACCCAGCCCAGTGTCTGACAGGCAAAGGCCATCAATTCACATTGTTTTACTCCTTGATCAAATGAGGTTGGTGCACGCGCGTGCATGCAAACGAGCAGACACAGAAGAACCGTGACACAGTTTTTTCAGGTCTAGAAAAATAATTCTTTCTAATGTTGAAACAGAGCCGGTAAGGCCAGGGCATTGGATTCTGTAGTCCCCTTGGGCTCTTAATGATTAAAACACAGCTACCACCACTTCTCCTTGCCACCTGCATAAAGCCACCTCCCCGGTGTGCCCCGCCTTCTACGGCAGCCCAGCCCCCACCCACAGGCCCTGCTCCACTCCTCCGCCTGCCTGCCCTCCTCCACCGCAGCTCCCTGTCCCTCTTGCTGTAGTGCTTGGAAACCAAGGGCAGACACTTAAAGCCAACACACAGGAGGCACCTCTGGCCAGGCCTACCTGTGGTTCTCCCAGTCCTTCGACAGCCAGGGGCTGCAGAGCAGAAGTACTTCTTGCAGAGCTGACGCCTCCTCTTGGGACTTTGCTGGTCTTGGCAATTTCTAGCCACTCCCATTCGCCAACTTTGCTCATCAGACTTTCCAGAATGAGCTGCGAAGAGAAGCTCTGACAGCAGAGGGAAGCAAGGCCTGAGAGGGCCCATATGTGCTCCCTGTTTTCCCTGAACCCTGCTGCCCTTAGTCAGCAGCTGCCTTGCCCCCGACCGACTGGGGAACAGGGTCAGGCAGCAGACCATAGTTTGAAATTCAACTGACTCCTTTTCCTTGGAGCAATACCTCTGAAAAGGAAGCCCGTGCATTGATACATCATCCTGGCACAGAGGAGGGATGGGTTTGTGGACCAGGAAGCATTTGACCAAGAAACATAAGTTTGGGGAAACTTAAGTTAAGAAACATAAGTGCTTGCATTCACTGATCTCAAGAAATAAATGAGTTCCTGTCAATACAAATAAACCAAGTACAAAGATGCTGAGAAAATTCAGAATAATGAAGTGATGGATGTCAGGCCAAATGAATCAGGAAAGGTTTTGTAGAAGAAGAACTGTTTTCTTAGAACCTGAAAGAGGTAAAAGAATGGAAGCAACATTTGTTGAGTTCCTACTTCTATGTGCTAGGCATTATACGAGGCACATGTGTTTTCTTGTTTGTTTCTGTGTGCTGCATTCTGGCTAGTTCCTTCTAACCTGCGGTGCACTAATTTTCTCTTCAGCTGTGTTTAAACCCATCCATTGAGGTCTTAATTTTGTTTGTTGTGCTTTTTAGTTCTATAATTTCTATTTGGATTTTTTCAAAATTGCAAGGTCGCTTTTTAGTTTCTCTTCCCTAACAAAATTTTCAAGCTTGCCTTTTATTTCTTTGAATTATAAACATAGTTGTCTGTGTCTGATAAGTCCAAGACAGTCATGCTTCACAACAGTGGGGATATATTGTAAGAAATGCATCATTAGGCAATTTCATCATTGCACAAACATCATGGAGTGTGCTTAACCTAGATGGTATAGCCTGCTGGACACCTTGGCTACATGGTGTAGCCTCTTGCTTCTAGGCTACAAACCTGTATAGCATGTTACCGTGCTGAATACTGTAGGCAATTGTAACAAAATAGTAAGTATCTGGGTGTCTAAACATATCTAAACATAGAAAAAGTAGAGTAAAAATGCGGGATTATAGTCTTATGGGATTATCATTCTATATACGGTCATCATTGACTGAAACATCTTTATGTGATGCGTGACTGTATTTCAATTCCTTTTGGATCTCTTTTTATTATCATTTCTTCTAGTTCTCACTCATAATGTCTTCTTTCCTTATATGCTTTGTTGTTTTTGATTCAATGCTGGTCAATGTATTTGATTTTACCTGTTTCTTTTCTTTCCTTTTCTCTTCTATTTTTAAGAGAGATGGAGTCTTGCTCTTGCTCAGACGAGTCTCTCTTGAACTCCTGTAATGGGAGCGGTATTTACTCCTAGTTTCATCTTTACCCGGAAGGCGAAGCCCTTCAGAACCTCAGCTTTGACTAGGGAGAGAGAATATATCCAGGCTTCCCACCTTGGAGGGGAATGAGGAATCTGCAAAACCCAAAGCTCATTTTTGCCACTGTTAGTTCTGGATTAATTTCTTTTTAAAGGCAAAGTGGTGTTGAGTACTGGATTACCTCTCTAAATTCTCACTTCCTCCAACATATGGCCCATGATTCCTCATTACTTTGTTACCTCTTTGATGATTTTAAGAAAAATGTTTGTTATATTTCATCCAGCTTCTTGAATCGTGCTCAGCAAGATGGTTTATTCAAAGTTCTTAGCTTTCTGTTGCTGGAAGTAGATGTCCCTTCTTTCATTTTTCTCACAACAACCAAATAAAGTGAGTAGATATGAATATTCCCATTTTACAGATGTGAGTTGGAGATTATGCTTTTTAGTTCTAGAATTTCTATTTGGATTTTTTCAAAATTGCTAGGTTGCTTTGGAGTTTCTATTCCCTAACAAAAGTTAGAGATTTTATCCAGATTTTACTCAGGGGACTTGAGTGTTGAATCAAGATTGTTCTGAGCCCAAAGCCCATAATTTTCCACTATAGCATGCTTGGGAACGAAAAGGAGGAGCAGAAGAGCTCCTTGGAGTGTCCGTGAAGGACATGTGCCAGAGTGCAAAGGGAAATGGGGGGTTATGCGTAGCTGCATCCACAAGAGCAGAGCTTCTGCGTGAAAAAGAATGTCCTCAGGGGGAAATGGCAGGCCAGGCTGAGCAGGTGCTGCCCGCTGGTGCAGAAGGTCTCTGTTGAAAGAGATGTTCCCCTCTGGAGTGACCCTGTTCTTGGGGACACAGGTGTCCCCCCTGGAGCTGGAGGCAGGTGAGCACCCCAGCAGCGGGAGCCCATGTCACAGCAGGTGTGCGCCGCAGGGCAGAGCGTGCCTCCTCCTGGGAGACAGGAGATGGTGGCTTGTGGAAGGACCTCGGAGGAAAGCAAGACTGAGGGTTTAGGATGGGAACTACAAAGCCCTTGCTAACCTCATATTCCTGCCTCTCCTCTTCCTGCCACCAGGAAATGACCCAACAGCCTCTGCAGAATACCTTGCTCCCAGACTTCTGAGTTTAGGAAAACGTAAACACATTCTGTAATCCCTTCCCCCCACAAGCCAGTCGTTTCAAGGCTGCGGAGGGAGAATTCTCTTCAGCTGTCTCCCCCGTGCCACGCTCCCTACCTCCTCGCTCAAGCCTTCTTCTCGAGGGAAGTTTGCATCTTCCCTGAAGCTTAAGGTCTCTGCTGAGCCAAGCTCTTTAAAGGGAGTTGATTTACGCCCCTCTAGGAATTTTTTTTTTTTGGACTTGGTAATATTTCTAAGATTAATTTTCATACCATCCACACAGGAAGCTCATTAAAACGCACTGGGTATGTGTTAGCCTGACTGCGACAGGCTCAGGAAGGACCCCACCAGCTGGGAGACCAGAGAGGGCAGACTGGCAGTACGTTTGGGCCCAGGGCAAGGACAAGGGGACAAGGCTGGCACTAGGCGCTCGCCCACCTGGGGTGTGGCTGCGGGGCTTTGGCTGGCCCTGGAAGAGTTCCTCCCCACCGTGTCCCCACGCGCCCCTGACCAGTGGCCTGGCTGAGATGTGTGCATTCTCTTCTTGTGGATTTTCTTACTTTATTTTTCCCTGTTGGGGTTGGTGTTCCACTGAGATTAATGGTCAACTGAGTCATTTTTAAAGAGGCCTTTTGACAAAGAGAAAGCAAATAAATTAGCCCTGCCTGTCAGCTTAGGCTGCCCTTTCCTGCATGCCACCCAGCTCTGCTTTGTAGCCAAGAAGGCCTCTGTCCTTTATTTGAGCCACCCGTCACCCTGCGGCAGGCTGGGAGTGTGTCCCCATGCCTCAGCCACACCATCAGCCACACACACAGGGCTCTTGGGGGGCCCAAGGCGGGAGGAGGGCAGCGCATGGGGCAGGGAGGTGGGGAAAGGCTGCGGAGCCTTTGAGGAGCCTTGGCCTGTCCGTGCGCAACTGTTCTAGGGACGGCCTTCCTCCCTCACTGAAGGGTGGTGGCTGAGAGCCTGGCCTCTGTTGGGGGAGGGGCAGACTGCCTGGGCTCCCGTCCCAGCTCTACTGTTAATTAGCTGCATGATTTGGCGATCATTCCTTAACCTCTCTGAGCCTTAGTTTCCTAATCTGCAAAATGGGGATAATCAAAGAATTCATCTCCTGGGCTTGTTGGGAGAATTAAATAAGCTAATACTCACAAGATACTTGGAGCAGTGCCCAGCACATAGTAGGCATTACATGCATTATGATTACTCATACGCTCCCAGTGGCGCAGCAGAGCACCCGCCCCATCTCCTTTACTTGGAGGGCAGTTGTATTTCCTGCAGAGGCTGCCGCTGGGACTGCCAAGGAAGCCACGCCGAGGCGTGCGACTGACCCCAGCATGCTCCCTTTCCTGCACACGGCAGCCACGCTAGGCCCAGGACATGGAAGGTTAATTGAAGGGCAGAGGGCAGGAATATTACAAAAGGCGGGTTCAGAGCAAAGAGGCTGCACTGCAACATAATATGTGTGCAGTCACATCAGGGTTTGGGGGAGACTGGCAGATGGGCCCCTGCTAGCCTCGTAGCAACCCCCAAGCCCACCTGCCTCCTTTCTGCCTGCATGAGAATCTAAATCACATTAAATATTGACCAGCAAGGGGTGCATGCTGCCAGGACTGATGGAAGGCTCTGATTACCAAGGAAACACGGGAGTCCTTGACCACAGCATTGCCCTGTCACTTCGGTGGCAGCAGGAAGGTGAGGGCGGAGCAAGGGGAGATGCCAAGGGCGTGGGGAATATGAAAGGAGACCTGGTCCACAGGGACGGGGCTGGCAGCTTCAGCCAAGTGGTCGCTGCCACCCGCCCTGTTTAAGCTCCATCACAGAGAGGATGTAAAGCAGCATGAGGCACAGGCTGCCCTCAAGGAGCAGGAGTCCAGCTGGCAAGATGAGTCCCCCACAAACGAAAATATTACCGAAGCCTCAAGGGATTTTTGCAGGGCTGTTTATCATATGTGCAAAATGAGCAGGGGCCTCAGGAGGGGGTTGGAGTAGAAGGTTCTTCTTTTAACTTGTTTTTGTTTTGTTTTTGCTTTGCTTTTTGTTATGGCGAATTTCAAGCATATACAGAAGTGGAGAGGATGATAAATGAAGCCCCGTGTACCCACCTGGCTGGCTTCCACATGCTGCCCATCCTGCTTCTCCTCACTTGCCTTCTTATCTTTTTGCCTGGAGTATTTTAAAGTAAAATTCCACATATGTGTCATTTCATTCATAAATATTTTAGTATGCATGAACCAGATGATTTTTAAGGTTTCTTCCAGCTCTGACCTGGTGTGAGTGGATGTGTGATGGTGAGTGTCAGAGGGTTTCTCTGAAAGGATGAGGAGAAAGTTCTGTGTCCATGTGGGGGCTTGGTGTATGTGAAGACACACGCACATGCACATGCACGTACACACATGCACACAGACACACACGCAGACACACGCACACACATGCACACACAAGCACACACATGCACATGCACACACAAACTGCAGCCCTAATTGCCCCGAAACCATTCCTAATGATGCTGGCAGATGTCAGCCCAGGCAGAGCTGGGTGGAACAGCTTGGACATGGGGATCTGAAAGAAGCAGAGAGAGAAAGAAAATCAGATAAGCATCTGTTTATTCATAAAATATGTAATGAAAATCCTATTAAGTGGCAGCGCAGTGGAGAAGCAGACGTGACCCAGGCAGACAAAGCCTGGTGGTCACCAGCTCACAGTGGGGCTGGGGGAGGCCAGAGAGCAAACGGGCTGGCCAGCACAGTGCGAGGGGCTGTGCTAGGGTGTCGCACCGGAGAGCATCTCACCCAGAACTGCAAGACACGAAATAGAAAAAGGGGCAAAGACTCAGAGAACCAGAGACTAAAGATCTAAAGAGGACCAGGCTCCTGTCCCCTCCAGGCAGGTGCCAGGCCAGATCCCTGCTGAGGACTGCAGGAGCAGCCTCCGCAGCCTCAGGAGGGGTCCTGCGAGCCAGAGTGCAGCACACAGCTCCATTTCCACCTTCCAAAGCAAAAGAAATACTTTGGGGGAATTATCGAGGCTCAGTCGAATTTACTGGGCTGAATCAAACCAAACCCAGAAGTGCTGGGCCCGGGGCTGGGAGCTTCAAGGTATACAAGGACTCTTGTGAGCTCTCCGCAGTTCACTGGAAACAATAAATTGGCCCCAGGCCCTGGAGCTGCGTTTTAAGTAACTGACATGAGGTTAGGTAGTAGCGTTGGGGACCCAGGAACTTAGTCCTGCCCCAGGCTCTAAGGGAAGCCCGCCTTAGAAATAAGGACCGAATGTGGTCCACCACCCTAACAGCATCCTTTAACAGCCCGCTTTGCGTCCAGTATTGCACGGTGCTGACGTCATACAGAAGAAAAGACCCTAACGACAGGAACATGACATGAAAGACATAACGCACCACCGCAGAGCACAGCACCGAGCAAGGCCTGCTCTCGCGAAGCTGCTGTCTGGTAAGTGAGCAGAGACTCAGATCCAACGTCACGTCCACGCTGCACTGCGGGGTCTTGAGCATGCAGTGACTGTTCCCCCAAGGAGGCGTCAGTCCGGAGTTTACAGCTGCAGGAGCCGAGGCTTAGGAACCTAAGTCACTGCACGGAAGTCACACAACCAGGGAGAGAAAGAAAGCAGCAGACTCCCAGGCCAGGGCCTTCTGACTCCAGAGCCTCCATTCTCTCTGTGACACCACGTTGTCCCCAGCTTAGGGCCTGCCAGGGCTCGGGCAAGTGTGAAACAGCCACCACAAGTGCGGCCCAGTGAGCTGCATGAGGAGCCAGGCGGTGCCTTAGGGTCTTGGAGGAGGGCTGGCGCGCTGGCGCGCTGGCAGAGGGACGGACGTACTCTGGGGTTCCGGGGCAGAGCCGGGACTTGCAGGCGCATGGCACAGGTGAACCAATGATCTGAGCGGCCCAGCCATGGCCCGCATTGTTTCATGCAAGAGTGACTAGGCTCTGCCTGCCACTTGACAGTTCATGAAGTGCGTTTACAGACTTGACTTTTATAACAACCTGCCAGGTTATTGCTGTTCCATTGTTCAGATGATGAAACGGAGGCCCAGGAGGCTTGTGGTGGCCTGAGGTCTCTCAGAGGGTAGCCTGTGCCAGGTGGGTGCGCCAGGGGGACAGAGCTGAGGCTGAAAGGCTGCGGGGAAGTGGATTCCTGCACCACGCAGGGGCTGGGCCTGCCCCCTGTAACACCCTTCCGGACCCTGTAAAGAGACTGAGACTTAATGGAAGAGGGAGAACTTCTGGTCTTCTGAGGATGGGGCTGGGAGACGAGGGGAAGAGAGGACACCTGAGATGGCAAAGGGCAGGACTGGAGCAGCACAGGGGTAGGGGTGCCAGGTAAAATTCGGGGGGATGGTAGTGGAGAGTAGAGCTCTGAAGAGTGGGGACACCTGGTGGCCATGGTTAAGGTCAGAGGGTCAAATCACTTAGCACTCAATCTGGCCTGGCTGGGACTAAGACTCCTCTCATCCCTACGTCCTGCCTCTTCCACCTCCTGTCACTACCTCGGCCACCATCCCACTGGAGGCCCGAGGACAGAATCAGAGGTGTGCATCAGCAACAAAGACTGTCCGTAGGAGTTTGTCTGGCTTCCCAGCCCGGCTTCTGCGTTCTAGCTCCCTGTCACCTCCATGGACTTTGACCTTGACCCTTCATTGCCTTTGGAGGCCCTGGCCAGCCCTGCATGGGCTGCGTGGAGCCCTTCCCACGCTCCCCCAGTGCCCAGCCCTCCCTTATACAGTGTGCGCCCACTTTGCCACTGACCAGGGTTTGTCGTGGCTGCCGCTCCACTGTCAAGTTGAGGCACGTCACCCCTTTCTGAGGAGGGCTTGCTGGCCCAGGGTGGCAGAAGGCCGACAAGCTGCCCCGGGGGAAGGCCGTCGTGTGAACATACGGAGAAAGAGAAGCAGATGGTGCAGGCCTGAGGGACAAGGGCTCTGAGGGAGCAGTATGGCTTGACCAGACGCACATGCTGTTCCTCGTGTCTCTTTCTTGTCAACCTCTACTCCCAAGAGCGTGGAGAGATAAATGGGGAGAAGCTCCCTGGGGTCTGAGATTGAGGAGAATGGACTGAGCAAGGCCCAGTTTCCAGAAGTGTTTCAAGATTGGACCAGGGCTTTGGACCTGTCAGGGTGGCTCCCGCCCCAGCCCCAAGGGTGCCCTGGGTCAGGGCATGTGCCCTCTTAAATGCTGAGGGGCTTGTCCCCAGGCAGGGGCGAGTGACTTCACAGCCTCTTGGGTCTCAGCCCTTCCCCCCCGGGATACAGGGGTCCTTGCAGACCACACCCTGAGCAAGGGCCCCCACAGGGCGAGGAACCACTGACTGGATATCTAGGGAGAGTCACCATAGATGGCCACATCCCAGTCTCCATCTCAGTGTCTTCCCGCTGACCAGTGGTGAACTTGGCTACATCTCCTTTCTGGTTTTTGTGCGCAGGTGGCTGGCTGGCACTCCCTGCCCTTTCCTGTCTGGTTTGAATGTGGGTTTGCTGTCTGCTCACCCTCTCTATACTCGTCCGTGTCAGGGAAGGGTGGGAGCTTGGCTGGAGGTGTGCATAGGGGCTGCCCCACCTCCCAGGCCTGAGTGCACCCCAGGGTGCTCCCCTCCACCCCCATGGCGAGTCAGTTACCAAGTCCAGCAGGTTCTGTTTCCTAAATAGTACACATCTGCCCTCTCCTCCCTGTCCCCCCTGCCATTGCCTTGATTCAGGCCTCATCCCTTCCTGCCTGGACTGGTGCCCTGGCTCCTAACTGGTCCCTGCTCTTGCTTCATCCCATCCAGTCCTGCCACCACGCGGCTTTCAGGGTGATCTTTCACAGGTGAATATTTGACATATTAATCCTCCACTTAAAGTCCTTCGTTGACTCCCCAGTGCTTTCAGGAGGAGGTTCAAAGTGCTTGGATTAACCCAGGAGGACCTTCATGTGGCTGCCTCTCCAGCCTCATCTCCCACCTACCTTCACTCCAGCCAGTGATTTCCCATGGTTGCTTCACAGCTCAGAAATCGGCCTGTGCCACCGTCTCCAGATCTTCTGACCGCCTCCAGTTTGATTTAGAGGTCCCTCCTTTGTGCTCGTACAGGACCCTGCATACGTCCTTCTCGTAGCATGGTGACATTGGGCTGCCATCAGGATTTACTTTTCTGTCTTGCCTATGATGTCACAAGCTCCTTGAGGGCAGAGGACATGCCTGTCTATTTGGCTTTGTATTCCCAGCACCTAACAAAGTGCCAGGCGCAAGGTAAACACCCTGCAGATGTTTGGTGAATCAATCAATCCAGAGGAATAGGGTGGAAAGTGTGGGTTGGTGCATGTGTCCGTGTGTGTGTGTGTGTGTGTGTGTGTGTTAGTGGTGATGTTAGTGTGTGCGTGTGGAGTGAACGCAGTGGGCAGGGCATCCATCTGGACAGCTCTCCCACTCGACGTATGACCTTGTCCCAGTTTCCTCTTACGTGCACTGGCTGGTCTGAGGCTGTTTGCCACACCCCTCTCCCCTGACGTTCTACAAGTCTGCAGATCTGTGACCTGTGAAGAGAGGATGGTTCATAGCAGTGGTTCTCAAAGTGTGGTCCCCAGATCCAGATCACCAACATCACTGTCACCTAGGAACTTAGAATGCAGAGTCTCATGTCTCGCTCCAGAGTTACAGAATCAGAAATCTGAGACTGGGGCCCAGCAATCTATGTTTCAACAAGCCAGGCAATCCTGATGCACACTAAAATTTGAGAACCACTGGTTTAGAAGAACATCTTTGTCACCTAGCGCAATTGAGGTGGCAGGACAAGGAGATTATGGCCACAGACCAAGAGCGGTGAAGAGCTCTTAGCCAAGAGCATGCAGGTATGACTGGCCGTGACTCCGCAGGGCACCAGAGCTCCATGGCAATGGCCTGTAGGGGCCACACACCCCTTCTCCCAGGACTCTGTGCTGGCAGAGCCCAGAAATGTCTCTCAGAGAGCCTTCCAGCAGGGTCTCTGGGCTCACACCACTTTGACAGTTTCTCCATTGTCTTGAGGCTGTTCTTTCTAAAGTGGATTAGCCAGGCCCTTTGGCTCATTTCTGTCTTCCTGCAGCAGGGTGAGCGAGAAGGAGCAGTGCTCTGGAGTCAGACAAGCCCCCGTGGAGCCCTGACTTGGATAAGCTGATGATCCTGAGCACATTACTTAACCTCTTTGAGCTCCAGTTTCCTCCTCTCAAAAATAGAGTTAATAATACCTCATAAGTTTATTGCAAAGATTGAATAGTCCATATTGATGCTAAATTAAAATAAACTGTAGGCCAGTGGCTCACGCCTGTAATCCTAGCAATCTGGGAAGCCCAGGCAGGAGGATCACTTGAGATCAGGAGTTTGAGATCAGCCTGAGCAAGAGCAAGACCCCGTCTCTACAAAAGTAGAAAAATAAGCCAGGTGCAGTGGTGGGCGCCTGTGGTCTAAGCTACTCGGGAGGCTGAGGCAGGAGGATCGCTTGAGCCCAGGAGTTTGAGGTTGCAGTGAGCTAAGATGCTGCCACTGCCTTCTACCCATGGTAACAGAGCAAGTAATAAACTGTTACTGAACTGTCACTGTGATTATTACTAGATTGCCCTGCTCTGACCCCATCTCTCCCCTCGGGGTTCACCTGTAGCTGGGGTCTTCAGAGAAACTTCAAGGTTCCAAAATGCCAGCCATCCTTTTGGCTCCTGGCCCACTGCTGGGGCACACTTTCCAGGTGAGCCCAAGAGAGCACCTAGCTGCAGGGACACGAGCAGAGGTGTGTGTTGGGGGGCACGTGTGGTGGAGGGGGGTATGGAGCTTCCATCTCATTTCCCAAGTCCCTCACCCTGAGAACCGACAGCATAGTGCTAGTTACTTGCAGAACTATGGCGAGGCTGCTGCCCTAGATCTATTCACTCTGAAGTTTCCTCCTCCCTGGCTCTCTAACAGGACTGCTGCCTACCGCGTTGGTTCCTCAGGGGCCACAGCTTTGGGCCAATGCAACTTGTAGTTATGTGTAGGGACTTCAGAATCAAACAGACCTGATCCATGTCCCAGTTCTGCATCTGGCCAGCCAACTGACCTTGCGCATATTGCTTAACCACTCTGTGCCTCAGTTTCCTTATCTGTAAAATGAGGATAATAATAGTATCTACTCTTAGGAGTAGCAAATGAGGAGTAGCAAATGTTAGGAGGAGCAAATGAAGTAGTGTATGTGCAGTACCTGACACACTGTGAGAGTTAAAAAAAAGAAAAAGAAAAAGTTACAGCAGTGCTGCTTCGAGGGAGATGATTTGAACATGAAAAGAGGCTGCACAGGTGTTTCAGCCCAGGCTGGTGTTTTTGGTGTTCTTCAGGGTGGTCTGCCATTGTCCTTGGCCCTGGACATGGAGGGCCACAGAGCTCTGAGTCCCTGGAACTCACTGTGGTGGCCCAGCCTGCTCTGAGAACTCTCCTCATCCTGACCCTACCCAACACGACAGCTTCTTTGCCCCAGCCCCGTCCCCAACACCAGGGACTCCAGGAAGCCAGGTTGGGGCATCCCGGTGGAGAAGGTGGGTGCGGGAGTGGGTGTGGCAATGAGCCTAAGACATCCCTCTCGCAGGAACTCATTAAGGATGTGTCTCTTCAGTTGAGCTACCAGCAGCTGGGCCCTAAATGGACCGGGCCCTGGTCTCCAGTAAAGAACAGCCTCCCCTCCAGACGGCCAGCCTCAGGCAGAATCAGACCAGGGAGCTCGGCTTGCACTTATCTCTTGGCACCTGGAGGAGGAGATGAAGGGAGCAATTAATTGTACAAGGCGGGTGGTTTGTGCAGCTTAAGTTCAGATAAAAAGTTTAATTATCCCTAAGCCCTAATACAAATTAATTAGCCTTCCATATTAGGAGGGTAAGCTTCCTGGCTCCTGCCTCAGCCCAGACATTACTGTGGATTACCGAGGGTGTGCTGGGAGGGAAGGAGCCAAAGAGGCATGGAGTCCCCAAGCTGCCCCGGCTCCAGGCAGACGCCTGCCTCCCAGTGGGGCCTGAGTGTGAGCCCTCAGTCTGGGGTGGACCCCACAGCTCACCCATGCCTGGGATATCACCTCCAGGAAGGGCTTTCTTGTCCCTTCCTATCCCCACACACACAGCTAGAATGGGGTAGGAGGAGAGTCCTTATTTGCATGAGTGGAGGAAGACAAAAAGGAAATAAGGCTATGGGTTTAAATTTTTTTTCTAGGCCATGACTGTTTCTGTTTTTTCTTTTCTTTCTCCTCTCTTTCTTCAAAACTCCACAGAGAAAATAGGCCATAGATGCCATTAGGACTGAGAGACTCACCATGAGCTCCCCACCTCCCAGTCCCTGCCCAGGTGGGCCCCAGGAGGGCTGTGCCATAAGGGCTTGGGCACCAGGGTTATTATGCTCACAATTAGCTGCTGTTCAGTGAGTGTTTACTGTGTAACAGGCATGTAGTCTTTGCAACAACATTGAGTTAATTACCCATTAACTCATACATTCAGCAAACATTTATTGAAGTGCTTTGAGCAGGGAAATGACATGCAAGGATTTGCATTTTAAGAATATGCGTCTTTGTGAATTAAAAGGGAACAAAAGTGGAAGTGAAAAGTCCAGTTAAGAGGATTTTGCCGAAGTCCGGTCTAGAAATAACGGTGGTCTGGATGCAGGGTTTCTTTAATAAACACTTATAAAGCTCTTACTCTGTGCCAGGTTGAGCACTTTTACCAATAGTATCTCATTTAATCCTTCACAACAACCCTGTGAGGTAGGTACTATTATTTTTTCAATGCCAGGAAACTAAAGACAAAAAAGTTAAGTATCATGCCCAGAGTCACCCAGCTAACAAGTGACAGAGCCAGGATTTGACCTGAGTAGTCTGGCACTCAGAGTCCACACAATGCTATACTCCTGCCACTGAGGCAGGGGAGGTGGAGAGAAGTGGGTGAGTTCTAGCAAATTTCTCCACAACCAGCCCTTCCCAGCAACCCCCCTCCCCTCACCCTGCCACCCCACCCCCACCAAGGAGCAGGACGTGAAGGACAGAGCAGGGGCGACGGAGAACAACCTGGGCTCCAGCCCCAGTAGTTCTGCCTCTTACTGCTTGAGTGACCTTGAACAAGTTACTGTCCTCTCTGGACTTCAGCGTCTCATCCCTAACATGGGTTAGCCCTTCCTGGTAGGGCGGGCTGTTGCGAGACCCACTGATGCAGATAAAGATAAAGCCCCTAACACGGGCTCCAGCACATCGTGCCCTTCCATTCTTCCATTCCCCATCCCCTCTTCTTCAGGCTGAATGTCCTTGTTCCTTTGATTGTTTCCCCTGAGAGGATTTCCAGACAGTTCACCATCCTGGCCTTCCTCCTCTGGACGTGACCCAGTTAATTAATGTCCTGTAGAATAGACAGTGCTCAGAACTCAACACAGCAGCCTAGACAGGGTCTGCGTCAAGGAGCAGTGTGACCACCCACTCCCTTTCTCCAGACACGGCACTCCCGTCAATCCAGCCTCATGCCATGTAGGGCTTTAGCAGCCTCCTTACCCTGGTGGCCCATGTCGAAGTTAAATTTCCCAGTGGTTTTTAGCATAGACTCCTTAGAGCCAGGTCTCTCCCATCAGCTGTGCAAGTCATTGATTACTTGAATCAAAATGGTGGAGTTGTAATTTATCTTTGTTAAAATTAATCTGGTTGGTTTCACCCATGACTAACACTTGCTAAAATCCTTTTGACTCCTAACAACCCCAATTCATAGTAGCTCTGTCATTTAGAAATTTGAACAACTTACTTTAAAACAATCAGCAGTGGCAGCCTTCTCCTCCTCTTCATCATCATCATAGAATCCAAATGAAAGAAGGTTAAGCAAAAATAGTAATTTGTTAGTAGGAAGAGTCAAAGAAAGGATGAAACAAGTAATCCACAGGAAAGTGAAAGTTAAAGCTGGTCCTCAGGAAGCATTAGAACAGGAACTCAAACTCCATTACTTTCCTCTCCATCTGTCATCTGTCTCTACGCACCAGCCTTCTTCCTTCCCAACTGCATGGCTTTGCCCATGGCAGAAAGCATGGCTGCCAACAGCTCCAGAGCATTCATTGCTTGTCGCAGCTTCAACTTCTTTGAAAGAGATTGATCTGGTCTCAAACGTAAAATCCAGGGACTGGGAAAAGGCACTCCACATCACTGGCCATTAGGAAAGTCCAAATCAAAATCACAGTGAGATATCACTCTACACCCACCAGAAAAGCTATAATCAATAAATAAGTGTTGTCTCAGATAAGGAGAAATCGAACCCCTCAGTTGTTGCTGGTGGGAATGTAAAATGGAACAAACACTTTGGAAAACAGTTTGGCAGTTCCTCATACTGTTAAACATAGTCTACCATATGACTCCTAGAGAAAAGAAAACATATGTCCACACAAAAACTTGTCCACAAATGTTCACAGCAGCACTGTTCAAAATAGCTAAAATGTGGAAACAACCCAAATGGCATCAACTAATGAATGAATGGACACAATGTGGTACATCCATACAACGTAATATTACACAGCCGTAAAAAGGAATGAAATACTGAGGCATGCTATAACGTGGGTGAAACTTGAAAACATCATGCTAAGTGAAAGAAATCAGACACAAAAAGCCACATATATGATTCCATTTATATGAAATGTCCAAAACAGGGAAACCTATAGAGACAGAAAGTAGATTAGCGGTTGCCTAGGACAGAGGACGGAGGGGTGGGGTATGGATGGTCACTGACGGCTAATGGGGGCAAGGCTTCTTTTAGGGGTCATGAAAGTGTTCCAAAATTAGACTGTGGGGATGGAAGCACAGCTCTGTAAATACACTAAACACCACTGAAATGCACAATTTGAGTATATTTTATGGTGTGTAAATTGTATCTCAATAAAATTTTTAAAAATTTAAGTCAAGGAAAGGAACTCATTGACCCAGCTTGAGTCAGATCCCCTATTTTGAACCTAGTAACTGTGGCTAGTGGGAGTGGGAGTGCCAGGGAACGTTTGTAGGAATACGGCAGCTCCTACGTGGGACGGGGTGTCAGCAGGCAAAACAATAGGTACCCACCACAGTGGCTATTTCTAGAGAATTTACAGTTACACGAACAATGAATTAAGTATTTCTTCTGAATTATTAATTATGGCAACAAGACTGGGGATATAAAACCCATTTTATAGATGATAATGGCTCACGTTAAATAAATTGCCCAGGGTCACTTAACTAGTTGGTAAGTACTGTGGGGCTAGGGTTCAAACCCAGGTCTGAAGCCAGTGTCCTCTCTCAATTATTAGGCCATGCTGCCTCCCTCTGGCTTTATACAAGATGTTGAAAATACTGGAACATACCACTGGAGACCTAACTTGAGATCCATTCTTTATTTCATTTACTTATTTGCTCTTTCACTAAAGGAGACCCTTCTAACACGAAAACCATGCACTTGCTTTCCTGGCACAGGACCACTGTCAGTAATCTTTGAGAAGTGTCAGAAGATGGTTATTCAACTCCTGCTAACCACATTGCTACCCACCCCACCCTCCTCCAGCTTGTCAAGGGTATAAAGAACTGGGACAAGAACACATCTTGCTGAAATCACAATGCAGTGGGTCTGCAGCAATCTCCTGATCCACCAGCCAGATAACCTTACTCTCAAAACAAGAAATAAGGTTAATTTGGTAAAATGTGTGCACGATGAACCATACAGTTTATTTGCCAAGTGCTCACAAAGTGTCCACTTAATAATCTGCTCTCAGCTTCTGCCAGAAACTTGATGGCAGAATTGATGGATGCCAAGCCCACTGGTCTGTGGTTTCTCAGAACTCCTTTCCCCTTCTTTACAAATACCGGTACAACCGTTTGCTATGTCTAATCTCTTGGCACTTTTCTGCTGCACCATGATTCCTCAAGGATCATGGGCAGTGGTTCCACAGCCCCATCTGCACGTGCCTCGTGTCTCCCAGGGCGGATTCCCGTGGGCCTGTGATGTAAATTCGCTGCGAGCACTTGCCTGGGCTCCCCTCTCCTACTTCAAGCTCCCGATCCTTCTCGTGGGCGTCTGTCCCAGCCTCTCCAGCACGTTCTTCTCTATGGAGAAGGCAGCTGAGCCCATGGGAGTGGGGTTGCTGTGCTTTCTCTCTGTCACCTGTCACCAGCAGTGGGCATAGCTTCTCTCCTCCTTCTTTCTTCAGATATATACAACAATCTTTCTGTTGTCCTTGGCATTTTTCACCAGCCTCAGTTATTCTGAAATGTGCTTGTTCTTCCATGCTCCGGCCACACTTCTGTTTCATCCTCGGCCGTGTGCCCTCCAGCCCCACTTTCAGTCGCGCCAGCTGGAAGTCCCAGCTAACATGCTACAGCGCGCAGCCCCCTCGTCTTCATCACTGCGATTATCTGAACTTGGGACAACCAACTGTGGTTTTAGAGTTTCCCATTAACCGAGACTATGGTTTCCAGAATGCCTAGGTAAAAGTAACAGCATTTATTGTTTATAGAGCTGTGTATGTCACAATAGGATTATGACATAGGTCACTGATAGTATCTTCATTCTATAAACAAGGAAACTGAGGCCCAGAGTAACATTCCTCCAAGGTCACACAGTTATTTTATGGTGGAGCTGGGTGTGTCTTGAACCCGGGTCGTCTAAGTCCAGAATCCACATTCTCAACCACTTCACTGGAGGCCTCCCCTGAGCACCATGCAGAGTAGGAAACCCCAGCCACAAAGATCCAGAAGGAGCTTTCGCAGGCCTTCATGGCAGTACACGTCCAAGACAGCATGAGCCAGGAAAAGGAGAAGGAAGGCAGCCTCGAAGCAGGAGCCTACTTCATAGGGTATTGAGAGGGTTAAGTGAGATGATTCACTCATTCCTCAAATACCTGTCAGCCTCTGCCATGGCCTCCACAAAGCCCTCAGGTGTTTAGGAGGGAAGGACTCATACTTCTGAAACAGGTTACACCATCCCCTTCCGTGTCCTCTCTGGAGACCCAAGACACCTTGGCCCCCCAGGACAAGTGAGTTGGAGCCTCACTATTTCAGCAGCAATGACTCCTGGTCGCCCTAAGCTTGTTTGGGCTGCAGACACCCAGAGTGCACAGAGGCGGGGAAGATGGTGTTTCTGGCCTTGGCCAAAGGAGTCATCACAGCTCTTTGCTTAATAAGCTCTTTGCTTTAAATTATCTCAATAAAGAGGAGACTAAACACTTAACCACTGTGGAGAGTGTCTTATTGATTGGAGGAGAGAGGCTCTGGCCTGCCTGCCCAGGACTGAGCAGGATCCAGGCCAAGCTGGTCCCAGGGGGCAGCTGCCAGGGTGTGAAGTACTTAAGAGAGTTTCTCCAAGCTCTGAGAGGAGCCGGCACAGTTCCAAAGTGGCCACACAACTTAAGGGGCTGAGTTTCAGAGCTCAGGGTTCCCCTCTGAGACAGTGTGGTTAGTGGAAAAGAGATAAAAGCAAGAGGAGGGGGTTTTAATCCCAACTGAGCAAATGAACTCAGTCCATGTCATGTCTCTGAGCCTCAGTTTCTGCATCTGTTCAATGGGGATAAGAATACAAAGTTCGCAGTGTTTGTGGGGCTCCTGTGAGATGAATATGTAAATGTGACTTGCAGGCCAGGTGTGGGGACTCACACCTGTAATCCTAGCACTTTGGGAGGCTGAGGCAGGAGGATCGCTTGGGGTCAGGAGTTTGAGGTTGCTGTGAGCTATGGCAATGCCATGGCACTGTAGGCTGGGCAACAGAGTGAGACTCTGTCTCAAAAAAGATTTTGACTTGTAAATTATAAATCTCCACATGACTAGGACGTAAGTTTGTTATTTGTTATTATTGGTGTCTTGTATGAGATCATGTTGCTCTTCGGCTGGAAGCTCATCCATGGCCCCTCGGGATAAAATGCGTGCTCTCCACCGTGGCCCACCAGACACTGCGGGATCTGGCCCCACTGCCTCCCTAACCGACGTTGCCGTGACTCTCCCCGTCACTCATGTGCCCAGTCCTGCTGGCCCTTTGACAATTCCCGGAACAGGCCAAGCTCTGTCCTACTCCCTCAGGGCCTCTGTGCTTTCTGTCACCCCTGCCGCACGCACCCGTCCCCAGCTGTTCTGCATGGCTGGATCCTTTGCTTTCAGATCTCAGCGTACATGTTAGCTCCTCGGGCCCTTCCCGGCCACACGCCTGCCACCTGACACAGCACCGAGCTCTATTCCCTTCAGAGAGACAACCACCAGCCACAATGTTGTTTATGTATTCACTTATTTGTTTATGGTGTTCCCTTGTAGGACATTCTCTCCATGAACATAAGGACATCAGAGTACCTGGCATGTGGCAGGCACTCTAACCAATTGTGGAATGAATAAATGATGAATGATTGGCAGGGAAGCCGGACTTGTTTCCCGAATGGCCCCTCCCTCACACCCACTCTCTCTCTCTCTCTCTCTCTCAGATATGGAGACATGGTGCCCAAGACAATTGCAGGGAAGATCTTCGGCTCCATCTGCTCCCTGAGTGGCGTCCTGGTCATTGCCCTGCCAGTTCCTGTGATTGTTTCCAACTTTAGCCGGATTTACCACCAGAATCAGAGAGCAGATAAACGCAGGGCACAGAAGGTAAGCCTGGGACGCTGGGCTGGGGAGGAGGTGTCAAGGGCAGGAGCAGCACCCGGGAGGCCCGGACCTGGGCTTTGCGCAGCTGGCAGCCAGCTTGCCAGGCCCCGAGCTGCTCGGAGCGTCACTGCACACACAGCCCCTGGCTTTGGAAGCTGAGGAGCTTCATGTCCCTTCCCACTCGCCGGCCTCCTGACAGCTCCAGAATGCAGTGAGCCTCAGGTGTCTGCAAGCTGACTGTCCCCTTTTGGGTATCCTATGGCAGCTCCCCGGTCCTCGGCTCTACCTCCACTCCCTCGGCCACCAGCACTCGCATCCCCCAGAACTTCTCCCTTCCAAGCCAAGCACTCACTGGGAAACATGATCTCTTCTTATACAAAACCTATGGCAAAAAATAAAATTAATAAAAGAAAATGAATACTGTGAGAGAACATTCTGAGGTCCTTGAGTTCAGGGACAAATGGCACAATGGGCTTTAGTAACCTCCAGGGTATTGTAGGGTTCAGGCACATGGTTGATGATGGGCATAACCATCAGTCCTGAGAAAAGCTTTAAATTATGTCCAGTATATGCTACTTAGGACGGCAGGGAAGGGTGAAATACTGTCACTTACCCACAGAATGAGGAAGGATGTCTGAAGGCTTTGGTACCCAGGGAGAAGCCTCCTTTCCCGTCTGGCCTTCAGCCTTCTCTGTAGAACAACCCGGCTCAGCCAGCTCTCGTCCAGTGCATTTTTTTTTTGAGACCAAGTCTCACTCTGTTGCCTTATTAACAAGTCCCAAAACAATAAACGTTGGCGTGGATGCAGAGAGATAGGAACACTCCTATGCTGCTGGTGGGACTGCAAACTAGTGCAACCTCTGTGGAAAGCAATATGGAGATGCCTTAAAGTGATACAAGTAGATCTACCATTTGATCCAGCTATCCCACTACTGGGCATCTACCCAAAAGAACAAAAGATACTCTATAAAAAAGACACCTGCACTCAAATGTTTATAGTAGCACAATTCACAATTGCAAAGCTGTGGAAACAACCCAAGTGCCCATCAATACATGAGTGGATTAATAAAATGCGGTATATGTGTACCATGGAGTACTATTCAACTATAAGAAACAATGGTGACATAGCACCTCTTGTATTTTCCTGGATAGAGCTGGAACCCATTCTAGTGAAGTATCCCAAGATTGGAAAAATAAGCATCATATGTACTCACCAGCAAATTGGTATTAACTGATCAACACCTAGGTGGGGCCGGGCACAGTGGCTCATGCCTGTAATCCTAGCACTCTGGGAGGCCAAGGCAGGCGGATTGCTCGAGGTCAGGAGTTCGAAACCAGCCTGAGCAAGAACGAGACCCTGTCTCTACTATAAATAGAAAGAAATTAATTGGCCAACTAATATATAGAAAAAATTAGGCAGGCATGGTGGTTGCATGCCTGTAGTCCCAGCTACTCAGGAGGCTGAGGCAGGAGGATCGCTTGAGCCCAGGAGTCTGAGGTTGCTGTGAGCTAGGCTGACGCCATGGCACTCACTCTAGCCTGGGCAACAAAGGGAGACTCTATCTCAAAATAAAAAAAACAATAACACCTAAGTGGACATATAGTGTCAGGCAGATGGGAGGGGGGAGGAGGGGATAGGGGTATATACATACATAATGAGTGCAAGGCACACCGTCTAGGGGATGGTCATGCTTAAAGCTCTGTCTTCAGGAGGGTGGAGGGGCACGGGCAATATACTTAACCTTTTTTCTGTGTGTGTGTGTGTGCACTTTTTGCATTCCTTTTTATTTCAGCATATTATGAGGGTACAACTGTTTAGGTTACCTGTATTGCCTTTCCCTCCTCTTCTCTCCCGAATATACTTAACATTTGTGCCCCCATAATATGCTGAAATTTTTTAAAAAGTATATATTTTTAGTTGGCCAACTAATTTCTTTCTATTTTTAGTGGAGACTGTGTCTCACTCTTGCTCAGGCTGGTTTCGAACTCCTGACCTTGAGCAGTCCTCCTGCCTTGGCCTCCCAGAGTGCTAGGATTATAGGCGTGAGCCACCGTGCCTGGCCCATCCAGTGCATTTTTAAGGCATCTGGCTCGTGGAGGTTCTTGGGCAGTGACTCTTACCAGGATTCCTACCAGGAAAGAATGTCTGTGGGGGAGTCCTTCATTTCTCTTCTGATCTTGGCTAAAATGTGATGGCCCTTCTCTAGAGCCTCAGTCCCCAGGGACTGTGGTCACAGCCTTTCCAGGGACAGTGGAAAGGAGGGCACCTTGATGAAAGATTGGCTTATGGATACTTGGGTTTTGTCTCCTGATTTTCTTCTTTCTTTCATTCATTTATTCCAGACATTTATTGGGTGCCTAGGATGTAGTAGGCCCCATGCATTGCAGCTGGGTTACTTCTTTGCCACGTGGTCCCTGCCAGGCGGCCTTTTGTGTGCCCTGTGGTTGCCTCCTCCCTGCCTTCCTGTCCCCTCTGCCCGAGCTGAGTTGTATTTTGATATCTTGACCTGGTCTGTAGTGTTGCCAGTCTGAAGATTAATCCTCTGGCTCTGTGCCGTCTTCTCTGTCCCGTCCAGACCTGTCTCCTACCCCTTCACCCAAGGTCAGGGGTTCCCCACCCCCATCCCCTACCAGCTGCCCCAGAAATGGAAATCTTATCTCTTGCCTTGTTCAAGTCAGCTGACAAATGTGAACAATGTCTGAATTCATTATGCAATCCTAAAGAAACAGGCAGGGAGAAACTGGGATCTTCTTTTCAGATCCAGGAGCTGAGACCCCGAAGGGCCAGAGATCCTATAGCACCCCCGCCCCCCTCCCAAGGGGCTAGGGCTGATGCAGGTTTTAGCAGAGCAGCGAGGTGAGGTTCACAGGAATGCTGGGTCCACATGCTCGCCTGTGGGTGCGCATGCACAGGGACAGCCCGTCGCAGCTGCGCTCTAGGGAGCTCCTGCACTTACCTTCCTCCCGTGCCCACGTGTTCACCTACTTCTAAGAGCATCTCATCTGCTTTTTGCCCCTGCAAAGAATATAACAGTAGACATTTCCCTGGGTGCCTCTTTTTTTTTTAAGAGGCATGGTCTTACTATGTGGCCCGGGCTAGAGTTGAACTCCTGGGCTCAAGCAATCCTCCTCCCTAGTAGCTGGGACTACAGGTGTGCACCACCATGCCCCACTCTCCCATGGGACTTTATGAAGCTCATCTGGCGTGATTAAAATCCAGAAGAAATAACTTCAGTTTATCCTCCTCTAGCTGCTAAAGATAAGTCTCCCTCCGTTCTGGCTCCCTCCCTGTCCCCTTCCCTTTCCCTCTTCTCTGTCCCCTTGAAATCAGAGTAAATATTTACAGTGTTTTCACCTAGCCTGGATACTGTTTCTCCTCACGGTTGCTCAGCTCTGTCTGCTTCACCTTGGGCTGCTGTGAGGGGGGAAAAAGTACTTCCAGCTTCCAGTCCTGAATCTGCCACATGAGTCAAGGCGGGCAGGTCCAGAGGGAAGTGGAGAGGTGGGACGGGAGAGTCAGGGAAGCCAAGGATGGTTCTCAGCCCAGACCACACACCTGGGAGCTGCAGTAGCCACAGAGGAGAGCTCCATCCCACGTGCCCTGGGTGGAAAGGCTCAGAAGGAAGTTAATGTCGTCATCCTCTTCTCATCATGACTGGCTTGCTTGGGGTCATTACTAAGATAGGTCTGCTGCTATTTGCTTCAGAGACTGTGTCTTCTGGACCAAATGAACTGGAGATCAGGTGGGCTGGTCTAGCAGTGGCCAGAATGTCTGGTGGGGGACGTTTGGCCCCCATCTCCAGTTCTGGTGCTTGCCCATATTCTTTTTTTTTAATGGAATATTTTACTGAGATAATTGTAAATTCACATTCAGTTGTAAGAGACAATACATGCAGATCCTTTGTACCGTTTGCTCAGTTTCCCCCAGTGGTAACATTTTACAAACCTGTAGCACAACATCACAACCAGGGTGTGGACATCACGACAGTCCACTAATCTTATTCAGTTTTACTTGTGCTTGCATACATGTGTATATGTGTAAGGTTTTTATGGTTCTGTCACCTGTGCAGGTTCATGTGCCACCACCACAGTCAAGATACTGGTCATCCCCAATGCCACGAGGATCCATGTGTTGCCCTTTTATAGCCCCACCCCAACCCTGCCCTGTCCCTGACCCCTGGCAACTATTTCTCTGTCCTCCATTTATCAAATGCCTTCATTTCAGAAATGTTATATAAATAGATGCATACAACAGGTAACCTTTGGGGATTGGCTTTTTTCATTCCATATACTTTCTGGAGATTGATCTAAGCTGTTGTGTGTATCAGTAGTTTATTCGTTTTTATAACTGAGCAGTAATCCCGTGGTATGGACATACTAGTTTGCTTAACTGTTCGCCTGTTGATGAATATTTGGGATGATTCCAGTTTGGGGTTATTCCAAATAAAGCTGCTGTAGACATTCATGGGCAAGTTTTTATGTAAACATAAGTTTTCATTTCTCTGAGATAAATACCTAAGAGTACGATTGCCCATTATCTCTTTTGGCCTTACTGTTTCTTCCTTTTTCTCATTCTTCTGCCTCTCCCAAGGAAAGAGACACAAATAACCACAGCCAAAGGACACCTGCCGGCCAGGCAGATAAAAAGGCTTAGTTGTGAGAGGCTTCTCAGAGACTGATAAAATTATGTCTTGCACATAGATGGTGCCTAGAACTGTATCCAGGGCAGTGGCCTTCTTCTTCCAGATCTCTCCCCCAACGCCGGAGTTTCCACACCTGTTTTAAATGCAACTTCCTGGGATTTGCTCATCAAGTTTAGAAACCTGCCTTAAAGGAGTTGAAACTCAGGGACAGAGAATAATGTTGTGGAAGCCACATTTGACCTGGAAGTTGGAAGTCCTGAGCTAAAGTCTTCCTAGTCCACACCTTGACCTGGATAAGCCACTTACCCTCATGCCCTCCATTTTTTGTCTTTGAAATGGCCCAGAACATGATCTCTAAGCTCTCTTTTAACTCCCACACTGTCCTTCTGGCCACGGATGACAGTGAAGCCAACCAGTCCACCCAAGGATTGAGCCTGTTACAATGGCTTTATAAACATGGTCATCCAACCAACTATGTGTGGCCATCTTCCTTCCTCAGCCATCACAAGCTTTGTGTGAACACCTGCTCAGTGTGCCGCCCTGTGCTGGGTACAGGACATAGAAATATGCATAAACCACAAGCCCTGGCTCTCTGGAGCTCCACGCCAAGCCAAAGAGCCCCACAAAATTTCACGTGCTGGGGATGGTTCTGTAAATACATTGCAAACCTCTTTATCCTGTGTGGGAAATGATTAAACGATACGGTGCATTTGATATGACAATCTATGGTTTTAATAGAGCCCAGGGTAAGATAAGATTAAAAGAAGTGCCACAAAGGAGAACAGGAGAATCTTTCATCTCTAGAAAATAATGAAGGCAGACCCCAGATATGAGAAAAATCTGGCTCTAAGTGGTTCAATCAGATTATATAAGGCTATAATGAGCTTGACACAATTGGATTTCCACATGACACTCGCAGCACCCAGCACCCAAAGCAATATGGGCCACATCCTCAAATGGTGAGGAACTTGCTTGAATGTAAACATCCAAACTAGGGAAGGGTTGGAGCAGGATTTGTGGGGCGTAGAATTGACCTGGACCTTGCCTGCAGAGTCTTTGCTCAGAGAGAGGAGGGATGGCAGGGCTGACTTGCCACCGCTCGTTCTGTTCCTGGTCCCCTTTCTTGTTTTCTGCTTCATCCAAAAAACCATTCTTCCTCAGATCTATGGGCAGGTCTTCCAGACTCACATCCTTGTCTTATCCCCATAGTTAGAGGCCAGGGGAAGGAGTTGAACTGTCCCTGCAAGGAGAAGGCCACTGAGAGCCTTCCCAGAAAACAAGAGATACAGTATGTCCTTTGTTCTTCTGTTGACAGCCTGAACTCTTGTGTCCATGGCCTTCTTTTAGCAGATTAGCCAGCTGATTAGCCACTTGGAGAAGGAGTGATAAGAAAAAGAAATAATCACAATTTCCCAAGGACTCTTCTCTTGCTCAGGGTCTATGCTGAAGTTGCATGTGGACTTGCCCAGAGGCAGGGGGAGCGACCATTCCACTCTAGGATGGGTCTGTGATCCTTGTGGGCTCTTCTGCTTCCAGTAGCAAGAGCTTGAAGCCTGGTCTAGAGCTACAGGACGCGACCTCTGGCTGCATTTTTAACCCAGCAGGAACTCCTCTGCCTTCTCCCTCTTCTTGCCCAGAGACTCTTCCCTTAGCCTCTCTCTTTGGCTGTGCCACTGTCATGGTGACAGTGATTATGGTCATCAGGAAGGAAAAGAGCAGCCAGCATGTGCAGTGTTCAGCCTGTCCTATTGCCTTCTGCAAGCAAGAGAGAGAGCTTATGTTGAGACACCATGCAGCCCTCCTGCAGGGGACCTTCTCTGCTGTAGGCTTCCCAGGTTGGAGCTGGGAGAGTTTCACTGGCCTAGTTAAAGCCAAAGTGGAGTGTGGACATGTGTTCCATCCTCCCTTCTCTTACACACACACCAGTCACCTTTCACAGGCACCTACACTCATTCCCACCGAGATGCATAGGTAGGTAGACAAATATTGACATGTCCACGCATGAATCCACTCCTAAAGAGAGACATACAATTGTATATACGTTTATTGACTTAAAAAAAATGAGAACCTACTGTTTGCTAGGCACTGAGAATATGTCAGTAAACACGGCAAAAACTCCTACCTTCAAAGAGTTTACATTGTAGTGGAGGAAAGAGACAGTAGCAAGATAAATATATATAAAACATACACTATCAGCCAGGCATGGTGGCTCATGCCTGTAATCCTGCACTCTGGGAGGCCAAGGTGGGAGGATCGCTCAAGGTCAGGAGTTTGAAACCAGCCTGAGCAAGAGCGAGACCCCGTCTCTACTAAAAATAGAAAGAAATTAATTGGCCAACTAAAAATATATAGAGAAAAAATTAGCCGGGCATGGTGGCACATGCCTGTAGTCCCAGCTACTCGGGAGGCTGAGGCAGGAGGATCGCGTGAGTCCAGGAGTTTGAGGTTGCTGTGAGCTAGGCTGATGTCATGGCACTCTAGCCCAGGCAAAAGAGTGAGACTCTGTCTGAAAAAAACAAAAAAAAAAACAAAAAAACAAAAAACCATATACTATCTTAGTAATAAGTGCTAAGGAAAAAAATAGAAATCAGAGAAGGAGTTAAGAAGTGTTGAAAAGCATGCATCCTTGCTTTTCTCATAATTCACTAATATTTGAGGACCTACTGTATGCGGGGACCTGTACTGGCCCCTAGGGGAGAATCACATACACTCCTTTAAGGAGTCTGCAGTCTCGTTAGTGATAAGAAATATTCCAGTTGAATAGCACAAAGCATCCAATACTAAGTAGATAAAGGTCATGAAACCTTTGGGAGGAGAGAGAACCTGGAGGAGTGGTATTTCTCCCACCAGGATCACACCCAGGCCAGAGAGATGAGTGGAAACTCTTAGGAATTCTGACCGTGACCAAGCTGCACAGAGGCGGTTACGCGTGTCAGACCCAGTCCTTGGTCTATAACCGGAGAGCACGAGGCTGGGAAGAAGCAGCTTCTTCCCCTCCATCAGACGTCGCCTGGGAAGCCAGCCTCCCTAGGCTAGCCCATTGCTTGCTGGATTTGCCAGCTTTGCTGTCCTTTTGTGTCATGATCTCCCTTACCCTTTCGTTGTCTCTGCCAATCACAGAAGGCCCGCCTTGCCAGGATCCGTGTGGCCAAAACGGGCAGCTCCAATGCCTACCTGCACAGCAAGCGCAACGGGCTCCTCAACGAGGCGCTGGAGCTGACGGTAGGTGCCTGGAGGACCTGGGCTGGAAGGTAAAGGGGCAGGAGGGCCTGCTTTCTCTCTCCAGGGGCACAGCACTCCCACTCTGGAGCCCCACTTTGAACCCTGAGGAGGACGTGTTTCCAGACTTCCCCAGGTAGCCGCTGCCCTGCCCACCTACCTCTCCGGGGCACAGGATTATCACCACTGCCCCTAAGCCAGCTTTAGACCAAGGGCCCCGGCCCAAAGGTCAGCATATTCTATGCTGACCCTACAAGTTGGTTTGTTCAGATTTTTCTGTTGCCCTCCTACCTTCTGTGGAGAAGTGAAGGAGCTGGAGCAGGGTGGAGCCACCAGCTTTATACTCAGCCTCCCTTCTTTTCTCACCAGGGCACCCCAGAAGAGGAGCACATGGGTAAGACCACGTCGCTCATCGAGAGCCAGCACCATCACCTGCTGCACTGCCTGGAAAAAACCACTGTGAGTCCCAGCCCATGGCCACCTCCTTTTGCATCCCTGACCCCTGACCCTTTCTTTCCTAAGGCTGTCTTCACATCCTCACTGGCCAGAAGTTGAAGTCTGCCCGCTTCAGATGTGAAAGGGGGTGATAAGACCTGTCAGCGCTCAGGAGGAAGGCCCCAGAGTAGAGCAAGCTCACCAGCCCCACGGCAGCCTCCCACACCCTACAGAGTCCCCACGGCCCAGTTCTTGATTTTTTGAGGGCTGAGGGCTCTGCCCGTCAGCTTCTTGGTTCTGACAGCATCACCCTTCAAAGCAGGGCTGAATTGGTGCACGACACTAGAAAAGAGTGTGAATTTTTGTCCCATCTCTGGGGCTAGGTTGATGCAATCTGTGGGTCCCTTTGCTCCCTACGTTCCTTTTGGAAAAGGAGACAACAAATGAAGGAGGGAGTGCACATATGTCTCTAGCCAGGATTTAGCAGCACCACCCCATCTCAGCCGCCTGCGATTCCCAGGGCATTCCGATTCTGAAAGGCTGATTGTTAAAGCAGAGTCATGGTGTAAGGGTGCCACAGCTGGAATGTGCAATGACGCTTGTGCCTCACAGACAGACTGAAAGGAAGGGCAGTGGGACCAAGCCTGGACCCTTGGTAAAAGGGGCTAGGAAGAGGGGAATGGAGGAGTCAGGGTAGGCAAGCCAGAAAGAAACAAAGTGAGACCTTTCCCTCTTCCTTCTGGGACCTCTCTCCAGAAAAGCCTAGAGTCAGGGCTCAGCACACTGTGGAGGGAACTTTCTAATCCTGAATGCTCCATACTCTGGCCTCCCAGATTTGGGGGGAAGAGATGTTAGATGACTTTTAACCTGAGCCAAAGGTGGACACCATGGATGGCAGTTGAACCCAGTGAGGTCTTCCAAAATGGGAGGGTGCTCTGCAAACCCTAGTTTCCAAGATTTATTTTCAAGAACTATATATAGAGAGAATTTCTCTTAACATTACAAACTTGCCAAAGGCATAGGCCTGGACCCAACTGCCCTTTCCAAGTCGCATGTGCTGGGTGGAATGTGTAAATTGGAGGGATATGGGTGAAAATATTTGGGAATGAAGGGCCGGAATGTTGGCACTGAAGAAATGGATTTTGGAATTGGGGATGGAATGCTGGCATTGAAGGGGTGGAATGTTGAATCTGAGGGAAAGAATGTCAGACTGGGATTAAAGCTATGGAATGCTGGATTTTACGGGAGGAATGTTGGACTCAAGGGATGGGATGTTGGGATAGGGGAGGCAGAATGTTGGGATGAAAGGAGCAAATGCCAGGTTTGAGCAGAGTCCTGTTGGAGCCAAAAGGTGGAATGTTGGGGAAAAGGGGAGGTAGAATGCTGGGAACAAGGGGTGGAATGTTGGACTCAAAGGGCGGAATGCTGGGATGGAAAGATTGTATGTCAAACTGGCTTGGGAATGCTGGAATGTACAATCAATGGTGTTTTTATCTTCTGTTGGCATGTTGTCCTGTAGGGGTTGTCCTATCTTGTGGATGATCCCCTGTTATCTGTACGAACCTCCACCGTCAAGGTATAACTTTTTAAAACTTCAATTGATGTTTTTCTCTCTGATTCTTCTAAGTCTGTGGATTCTTCTCTTTTCACTCCCTGGCCTGGTTCTTTGCATGTGCTGTTGATTCTTCCGGGCCTTAGCCTGCCTCTGCTGTCACACCCAGTACCAGCTCAGGCTTCCAGTTTTTTGTGCTGAACTCCCCAACTGTCTTTCTGATTCCTTCTTTGGACCTCCCCAGGGGCTTGGGAAGGGTGGCGGAACATGGGACCAGTGTTGGTGCCCTGCAAGTGTCCACATGCCCCGTCTGTCTCTGCCAGCTCCCCAGCTCCCTAGGGACTCCTGGTGTTGGCTGGCAGGGCTGGGGTCTTTCTGAACTCTGTTCTCATGCTGCTTCTCTTCAGACTTTCTCCTCACTCTTTCCAGCCTTGGCCAGACCATTAATGCTATAGATGTGTAGTCACCGTTTTTCTTAGTTATCCTGAGTTCAGCTACACCCCATCCCGGTGGCCCCCAGTCAGGAGACTGTTAGCAGTCCCTTTCCATGCTTACTCTTAACCTTGGGAATCTTGTGTCTCCAGGTATATTAAGGACCCATATCCCATAATCAGGGGGGGAAAAAAAACAATAATTGAAAGAATTCCTATCTCTGACAGTTTGACCCACTGGCCTTCAGGAGCAATACTCTCCCAATTCCGTGAATAACTTAGCACCTGTAAAAGATTTTATTGCACCCTTACCAAAGTATCATAAGGATGTTACCCACTAAATCCAGAAAAGACCACCTAACATACCCACTGCCCACAGTGATTCCTCATCTGCCACCTCTGGCAGATCTCACAGAAAGCCTGGAAGGTAAAGTCCTTGCTTCTAGCTCTGACGATGCCACTGCCTCCCTCCATGTCCTCTGTGTCCCCTCAGCTCAAAGCTGCAGAAGAGGCGCATGTCATGCCATGATTTAACAACTGCAGTAGTCACCCTCCAATCTGATGGCCAGGGCTGCCAATACGATTCTCTCTCATTCCTCATTGGATTCCTATGGGACATCACCCCCCTGAGAGCTTATCAGTGATCCAGGCAGCTGGAGCCCTTCCTTCAAGGCCCAGAACAGAGACAGGCAGCCACACAGAGCATGGGGACGCGTCCCCTCCTCCCTACCTCTTTTCCTACTTCTTCTCCTCTGCCTCCCACAGAACCATGAGTTTATCGATGAGCAGATGTTTGAGCAGAACTGCATGGAGAGTTCAATGCAGAACTACCCATCCACGAGGAGTCCCTCACTGTCCAGCCACCCAGGCCTCACCACCACCTGCTGCTCCCGTCGTAGTAAGAAGACCACACACCTGCCCAGTTCCAACCTGCCAGCCACCCGCCTGCGCAGCATGCAGGAGCTCAGCACGCTCCACATCCAGGGCAGCGAGCAGCCCTCCCTCACTACCAGGTGGGTGGCTCCCCTCCCCACCCCCGAAGGCTTGCGTCACTCCATTCACAGCATTAGGAGAACGCTGAGGGTCCTCTAGCTGCCCCCGCATCTAACGCATCACCTACCTGCCTTCCTCCCCACACCTTCCTTCTCATTCTTGCAGGTTAACCCAGAAGCCCTTTATATACTGTGGGAAGATACTATAGCAGCAGTTTTAGGCTGAAAGTGGTGTTAGATATCAGAAAAAAAAAAAATTAAAAAAAATATAGATAGATGTCCCAAAATGACCTACCCTAGTGCAAAGAATGGACCAAGCATTTTCTCAAAGAAATAATTTTAATAATTGTGTTACTCACGGCTTATCCCAGGCTGATTTTGAATCACAGACTGACTTTTCCCTCCTTTCTCTGCTTATATTTAGGCCACCTCCCACTACCTCCAAATGAGTTGCAGAGAATTCAGGGAAAGCAAATGCCAAATGCTACAAATGATAGGTAAACAACCACTGGGGGGAGGGAGATGTGCACTCCGAAATTCAAAGCCCAGTATACATGACTTTGTAATTGTCAGTCGTTCAGGAATAATAATTAGAATGGATAACTACAAGCTGATTACGAAAGGCAGAGATAGAGGGACAACCAAATCTCCTCCCAGTTACTATCAGCAGGGAATGTAGGGGTTCAAGGAAGCTTTGGGATGCTAGCAAACAGGAACTATCATCAACTCACTCTTTTCTATCCCAGTCGCTCCAGCCTTAATTTGAAAGCAGACGACGGACTGAGACCAAACTGCAAAACATCCCAGATCACCACAGCCATCATCAGCATCCCCACTCCCCCAGCGCTAACCCCAGAGGGGGAAAGTCGGCCACCCCCTGCCAGCCCAGGCCCCAATACGAACATTCCTTCCATAGCCAGCAATGTTGTCAAGGTCTCCGCCTTGTAAAACCACTGGACAAAGGGCCAGAGCGGTAGTGGGGAGTGGAGGGGGCTGGCATGTTGGTGGGTGGCCACTGGGACCACCCCCTCCCCCTTACCCCACTATTTCTGCCTGCCCCATTATACCCCTAGCACTGAGACTTGTGCCTGGAAGGAACAGGAGGCAGCAAAGGGGCACCTGAGGTTCACGCTGCTGGCGTGGACACAGCCCTGTGGCACCGCATCTCACTGGGGCCAGAGGAGGGGAGGGAGGGAGGTGGGGCTGGGCTGGTGGGGGGTATAGGCTGTGTGCCAGGACAGGGCCTGGAGAAGGGAGCCTCAGACCAAATAACAGTCGTTTTCGGAGACCCCAGTGAGGACAATATAAGACCAAGAGCAGCACAGAGGCCAAGCTGTCACTTGCAAAACAGGAAGAAAATATAACACTGTGTATTTAAGCACCTTTTTCAAGGCTCTTAATGGATAATATTTATTCATGGGAAAAGGTGGAAAACAAAAACACCAACAGATTTTTGTGAAATGTTTTTCTTCATGGACCCAACACCTTTGAACCAAAACAATGCATTTTGTGAGGGCTTTTTTTTTTTTCTTTTCTTTTCCTCCTTTTATAGCAAAAGCTTTTAGGCTAAGAAGTCAGTTATGGCTGAGTTCTCTCTCCATTCCCCCAGGTGGGTGAGGTCAACTGAGCCTGGGCCCCCACTGCCCAGCTGACCTGCGCAGAGCTGCCAAGTGACCACACACCAGTCCTTTCCCTCTGTCTGTCCCTGTCTCCGTCTCTGTGCCTCTCCGCTTACTCCCTGGCTGTTTCTGTGTCCAGCCGTCTGTCTCTACATGGGTCCCAGTGATCCTGAGACATGTTAGTAAAGCCTTCTCACTGCCAAGCACTGCGGACTTGTGCTGGGAGTTATATTTGTGTGAAGCAATTGTGGAAGAGGAAAGAATGGAGTGAAAAATGGGGAGATGAGAGGTAGGGAAGTTTACCTTAGAGAACAAAGGTGCTTCCCTTGTGGTTGGAACCACTTGTGTTTGCAGTTTCAGTTTCTGGGGAAGAAAGGGAATGACCAGATTTATCACACTGGGATCGTGAAACAGGAAATAGCCAACACCCGAGGAGCAGCCAACTCTGGTGTGTGCCAGTGAGGAGAGAACGGAAGATCCCAGGGCCCCGCGGCGGCAGTCGGGCTCCGTGGCACCTCGCTATGTACCCTTCTTTCAGGACCCACCGCAAAGCCCATCCAGAGCTCTGCCACGAGGCCCCATGAGCGGTTTCCTCCAGAGAGGGCAGTGGTACGGGGACTGAGGCAGCTCCCACATGGAGGCTGTGGGAGGTTAAGCCTGCGTGCCTCGTGAAGGTTGCTCCACAGCGTGAAAGCAAGCGCGAGATTCTAGATGGTTCTCACCTGGTATGAAAGATGCCTTGAGATCTGAGGAGTCTTCAGGCCTGGTCCTCCCTGAAGATAGCTGAAACGGGGGAGAAGCCTGATCACCTCTGTGCAAGTGAGAGAGCGAAGATTATCTCCTGAAAAACCTGGACAACATATCTGTTCAAGGGGCTTGCACCCTGGTGGGGCTGGGAACGGCGTTTCTGGAATCCTAACCATTGTTCACTGCATTAGGCAGAGCAGGTGGGCTTCGGGGTTAGTGACAAGCCCCTTCCCACCCTCTCCGGTTCCAGGCTACCCTACTGCAGGCTCTGTAGCCTGGGCTCTGAAACACTTGAGCTCCTTGGAAGCTCCTTATCCATCCTACAGCTGCTTAGTGGTTAGCTGTTTAATTGTAGGCCAAGAATTTCTCTGCCCACCACGGTCATCTAAATGAGTTTCACTAGCCAGGACCCTAAAAACACTGTTTCTGGGCTTCCCTATGACCCCAGCTCGATTGACCCTGTAGGCAGGGAAAGTCAGCAGGTTTTGAGGTGGCACCTTAGCAGAGGTGGGCAGCAGGCAGAGGAGAGGGAGCCTTTCTTTCTACGTCTCCTTACGCTTACCTCCCTGACCACGGACTGAGTTCTTTCTCTGGGTCTTGCTTCAAGGATTGCCCGTTAATGTGGGAATGGAGCGGTTCTTGTCCTCTGAGCTTATGGTCTAAGAAGGCAGAAAAGCTCACAACAACAGAGGAATATGTGTGTGCACACACACAAAACCAACCTAAACACATCGGGGACTACTTACTCACATCCATTCATTTCATACACACGCCTCACACAGAAGACCAGGCTGGAATCCACTTAGAAGGCAGGCAAAGGACTAGAAAAGGATTTTTCTCTTAAAATAATGGGTAATAGAACAATGATAGGAATGTCTAAGTATCTAAGTTACATATCATAAGACCCAAGGGAAGAAAGGGATAAAGCGGTAAGCAGGAACATGGTTGCATACATATACAAACTGCCTGTGCTTAATTTAAGAGCAGGTCATCACAGGGTTTAGAATAGTGACTGATGCAACCAAGGATCTGTTTGATAGTGCACCATGGGAGCATTTAGTGGTTCCCACAAAAATTAATAAATTTTAAGTATCATGTCCCAAACAATTTCCCATGTTTTTTATTGACCCTAATGGACTGAATGTTTTATGTTCCTTCAGTTTCATTTTCAAAGCCCACATTATGCCAGTTCCTAAAAGACCATTAGACCATCCCCTTCCTCTCCATCCCCTACTGTAGCCTTAGCCAGGGATACAGCATCTAGCTCACCTCTGGCCAACCCAGGAAAAAGATGTTAACCCAGAAAAATGGCAGATCTACACAACAGAACACAACTAGGCTACACTGCTACAGAGTATTTGTAAGTAAACACAAGGTCCAAAGCGTGCTGAGTCCGTTTAATAAGTCTAACTCATCAACCAGCCACTCGGAACCAGGATATCAGGGTTTTCTGGGGGCCAGGGGCCTTCTGGTATGATGACTCTTGAGCTTTCATAGTTCATGAACCACTTCACCATAATAAGAGATTTCCCCAAACCACCCTCCCATTCAGTCCCACTCAGCATTAAGGGGTGGGAGGAAAGGAAGATGAAAAAGAAACCTAATAGCTACGTTCAAACGTCAAATGAATGGAAACAGAAGAAAGTATTAAGAGTATATCAGAACTAGGAGAAATTAAAGACTGCCTAATTCATTCTACAGCATAGAAAGCTGAGGCCCAGAGATATTAAATGAGTTGCTCAAGGACACGCAGTCGTGTAATGACAGGGCTGGGACCAGAACAAAGATCCCTTGGCTATTAGTATAATGCTTTTTCCACCATGCCCACTGCCCCTCAGAGCAATGCCATAATTGGAGCCATAGTCTTATGTAAATGTCAATACCACTTGGACACAGCCCTTGGAAATCACCTGACTGTACTAATACAAACCATATCATTTGGAAACCACTATTGTCTAGGTAGAACCAGCTATGGAATGTCAATTCTGTCAGAACAGTGAATAGTTAAGTTTTTTCAGTCAAATGTTCTCTCTTCTCAATGAAGAGAAGGATAGGACAATGACATTTCAAGCATACCTTTCCTAGTCCTTCTGGTCTTTACTACAATCTGTGATGGTAGTAGGTAAAGTAACTAAATTCCTACTTCAAAGAGAGGAAAATAGGTGGAAAGCTGAGTGACTTATCCAAGTTCATGTAGCACATTAGTGGCAGAACTATGATTGCAATCCAGGACTTAGACATCTTGTCCTGGGATGTCTCCTCCACATCATATTGCATTGCTCTGAGGCTTGCTTTTAATCCCTGGATTTCAAGGGTGGTGATCAGGGGGAGGAAGCATTCCATTCCGAACCACCCTGAACCAGGATTTCCAGAAGCAAAGTCTGTTCTATTTCTCCTTCATCCTCTATTTTAATAACTAGTGCCAAGCTCAGGACTAACTGCATAGACTCCCTTTCAAAAGACCAATAGATGGTCTCAATGACAGTTGAACACATTAGTTTACAGTCACACAGAATTTGAGCAGAAATCAAAGTGGACAGTTAATGCTGATCCATAATTAACAAAAAAGTAAACTCGTGGATGTGCTGAGGACTTTATCCAGTTTTCAAAGTAGGATTCCTGCAGTTCAGGATCATGTCACTTATTAGAATGTAGGCAAGGAAAATGTACATTGAAACATTATGTACCTAGACTTTTTCCTTGTCTTTTTTATTTTGCAGAAGTAGTAGTTGAAATTGAGCTAACACTATTAATGAATTTCAGTCATCCAGGCTCCCTCTCTTCAATTACCAGGTAACTATAAGGCAGAAAGATCACAATGCTGTTAATTTAAGGCAATATTAGTTTTCTTTCTATACTGGTTGGCATGGTAACCGTGACAAACTTTTATTTTCCCTTTCTGATTTTCCTAATGAAATCTCATTACTTGCAAAGCTTTAACAATGACTAGATGAAGGAAAAACACTGTTACGACCCATGACCCTTGGAGCCCAAAGAGCATCATGAAGAAAATCATTACAACTAAGAGAAAGTGGCTATCAAAAAAATGAAACAGCTTTAAAGAGGTTCCTTTTAAGTCTTGTTTTCTATTCAGAATGTTCTATGTTTTTTCTCATCAAGTGTGGGATGACATTTATCTTAGCAGATTACTTAACTACACTGGATGATGCCATTCTAACCAGTGTAGGGCACTGATCCAAGTCCTGGGGGCTCCTTGGACCAATGGACTATTTTACAAACCTGGGAGGTGGGAGGGATGGTATATTTTTGATAATCAGACATTCCAATGTAGTGTTTTCCTTAGAGGTCACCCCCCCCATTAATGTTATCGTGAAAAACATCGTGTGTTCTTTTCTATTTTCATATAATAAATGGGCTTTGCTTACCAACATCATAATGGCAAAGAAGAAATATACTGTATAAAACTGCAGGAAGATAAACATGTGAAAACTTTCTATGAAAAAAAAAAACTCTTGAGTTTTCTGTCGTCTTCTTTTGAAACTGTAGTGCATATGTTAAAACATGTATATCATTTACAGTATTGAGTCGTGTGCCACTGCTGTACCTGATGTATCCAATCTGGATTAAACAAATTATGTGCCACAATCCCTAAAATGACTATGAATGTTTCTTTGAATACCAGTTCTCGTTTCCTCACAAAGGTCCTGCTATACACTAGAAAATAAGGGTAATTCAAAGGGAGGCTTTCTACCTCACTAGAGAAAAGTCACAGGATCTCACAAGGGAATTAAAGGCCTAGTGTACTGTTCCTGCCCATCCCCAGTGTAAGCACCTCCTCCATGACATACCTGACAGTGCTTGCCTGAGTGTACCCTTTATCTATGCATGTTCACTGTCTAACAGGTAAAGCATCCCATTGCATTTGTCAATAGCTCTATTTTGAGGCCCAACTCCATGTTACTGAAAGAAAATCTGCCTTCATGTATCAGTACTGGGGCTGCTGAGGCTACATAGAGTATCTACTCCCTTGTCTAAAGCAAGGTCTCAAACTACAAAGAAAAGTCAAATGCTGTATAGGACTCAGGTGATGGACACCCTTAAATACTCTCACTTGATCACTACACATTATATACATGTAAAAAATTTCACATGTATCCCATAAAATTATACATATTTTAAAAAAGGTTTTAGCACTGTATAGGTTAAAGAGCTTGGGAATCAGATAGCAGAAGCTCGAGTTTAGGTTCTATCACTTAATTGTATGACTTCATGTCAGTAACTTTCTCTTGTCTTCAAGAATTTGTTTCTTCATCTTAAAAATGTGGGATTGGGGTGCAGTGGGGCCTTCCTGTAGTCCAGCTGCTCAGAAGGCTGAGGCAGGAGACGCCCTCGAGTCCAGCCTGGGCAACATAGTGAGACTCCATCCCCACCCCCACCCCTTAAAAAAATTTATCTTAAAGATCTGTTCTAAACTTAACAATTCTGATTTAGGTGATGAGAGCAACAGGCACTCTCATGTTTCACCATGTAGCAACTACAATGTGAATCCTTTTAATTTCCTCACAACAACCAGATCCAAATTGATGAAAACAGTAACAGAAAGGGACCGTTAAGGTAAACTCATGATGCCCAAAGGCCCTTGAAATTGGCTGTAAATCATTTAAATCTAATCCCTGATGCTTACATCCTTATCACCACTAGGTGTCACTACAGATCCACAGCTCAAATAATCTGGTGGAAAGTAACTGGAAACCAGATGGGCATTGAGCAATTTCATCTTGTTTCATTAAAAACCAAATGTCAATTGGAACGTATATTCTTGGTCACAGAGGTACAAAATAATAAACATTCTTTCAAAACAAGGGAATAACCTCGTGATGAAGTTCCAATGGCATCCTATGGCTGCCAAAAATTTATTTTTTAAAATTAAGATAGATTGATTTATATTTAAGAGGGGGGTACCCTAGAACTTCAGACTACTTCCTTGTCTCCTACAGGTTGATCCCAAGTACTGATTCATGTTCAATTGTGTTTAGTATTCAGGAGCTGCAATTTACCTTTAAACCACGTTTTTATTTATTTATTTTTTTTATTTATTTATTTTTTAGACAGAGTCTCACTTTTGTTGCCTAGGCTACAGTGAGTGCCGTGGCGTCAGCCTAGCTCACAGCAACCTCAAACTCCTGGGCTCAAGCGATCCTTCTGACTCAGCCTCCCGAGTAGCTGGGACTACAGGCATTCACCACCATGCTCGGCTAATTTTTTTTTTCTATATATATTAGTTGGCCAATTAATTTCTATTTATAGTAGAGACGGGTCTCACTCTTGCTCAGGCTGGTTTCGAACTCCTGACCTTGAGTAATCCGCCCGCCTCAGCCTCCCATAGTGCTAGGATTACAGGTGTGAGCCACCACGCCTGGCTTAAACCACCGTTTTTAAAAGGTTAATATTAACACTTTAGGAAGTATTACTTTTAATTATCCAAAAGAATAATTTATATTCTAAGTCAGAATTATCCAAAGAAATAGATTTCCCAAAGATCTCTCTACACATTAATGCTGCTGGCCTAACTCAAGTTAAGGCTTAATATGAATAGTTGTAAAGTGTATTAATGTAAAAGTATCCAAATTACCTGACTTTATAAAGGCTCTCTATATTCATAAATTTGATTATCCTTTTCCCTAATTAGAAAATATTTTCAGAATGAATCATATAATAACTACATCTTATAATTGGAAGGGACTCTAAAAATCTTCTGGTACAACTTTCATTTTGATGAGAAAACTGGACTCTGAGAGATTAAATAACTAGTAGTGTTAAAAGTACCATGTTTCCCCGAAAAGAAGACCTACCCATAAAATAAGCCCTAGCAGGATTTCTAAGCATTTGCACAATATAAGCCCTACCCCAAAAATAAGACCTAGTGATGAGTGTGGCTACACGTCGTATCTGCACAACCCATGCATTTTTGTCGTGGAGTGGTAAAGAAGATGAGCAGCCCTTCTCATCTGCCCCATGAGAGCTGTTGCTCGACATGAGAGATTGGAGCCAATGGTTCTAAAGGAAATAGAGTCGCAAGAAATTCAGGATGGAATTCGGGGTTTGGAGAGTTATCATGATGTTCCAGAAGAAGATGACTTAACTGTATTGTTGTACCATACTTTAAAAAAATAACATTCCCTGAAAATAAGCCCTAGGGTGTCTTCTTGAGGAAAAATAAATATAAGACCCTGTCATATTTTTGGGGAAACACAGCAGTAGCAATCTCAACCAGGACCAGTACTCTTTACACCACCAAGTGTTTTCACGTGAATTTACCTCAAACCCCTCTAAGGTTCCTAACAGATTGAGGACATGCACCTAGACTGACAATTCCAAAAAATATTCCATGCTAAGTCACGCACAAATAGAAGCAGATTCCTTCCACAACTACCACTGTAACTACCTCTCTTGTTTGGAAAGGTACAGTTTGCCTGGTCAATGCTTATGGAAATTGAAGCAATTAGTATTTTTGTATGTTATGCATGTGCTCACCTCCAGCTTATTTTTCTGTGGGAGGAAAAAAGCAAACGCAAAATAGAGAGAATCCAATTAATTTGAAAACTAATGGGTAACCTCATCTCTAATTAAGATGCAGTAGTACCCTAATTAAAATCCCCTAGCAATGACAAACTGTGAAGTTGGCTATATTATTGGAGAAAGGGTAAAAAAAAGAGGTAAATTCAATTATATAGCAATGACAGGATCTTATTTAAATGTCTAATTAAAATCTCTACTTCTTAATGACATACTGGACCCAATTATGGATTTGCTATCTACAGTGTTAACTAATTCATTCTAAGTTGGAAATACACATACAGTACTGATACATGTAAGTAAAGCCTACCATTGCCCAACCCAGATGACAGGAATCCAAGTTAAACAGGAGTTTAGGATTGTCTTATGTGGGTATTGGGGAGTAAATGACAATGGCTATGGGTGTTTGCTGATAGCCCAGAGAAAGTGTTTATACTGTCTAGACGAGTATGTACACAGGAAAAGAAGGGCTTGCATTTTAAAAAGTGACGTGAATATGCATCTTTATACAGAAGGGGTTCTCTCACCAGAAATCCAGTTCACAGAAAGCTTTAGGAACGAAAAGCTTAATCATAAAAGGACTTCCAAAGAAAAAAAGAAAGAATATTAACTTCCCTTACATTTTTCCATATCATGATTTATAGCTGTACTATCTCAGAAAAATGACAGCTCCCCTTGGATCCAAGCATTAAAGGCAAAAAAAAAACAAAAAAACACCTGGGAAAAATTTTCTAGAAGATACAAGATTAGGACGCACTGAGAAGAATACTAACAGAATGAATTCCAGCTTCCACAAAACACTTAAAACTAAGAGCTAGAACTTTTCCTTAGCCTACAAGTAGAGGTCAGTTCTTAGCCTGGGTTCCATAGATGAGCTTCAGAGGATCTAGGAACCCCTTTAAATTCCATTCACAATTCTGTTTACAGAATGAGAAATGTTCTAGGGTCAATCCACAGCTTTCATTCAGTTCATTAAAGGACGCCTGAATCAACAAATAGAAGACTGCCAGTGATGACTCTTAGCTATTTAAGTTGGTAAAAATATGGGTAGCTTTCACAATCTCAAGAGCAAAAGACATTCAAAAGATAAACAATCAACATGTCAACATGCTTAGCTAAATCTGTTTTTGCTGGAAACAAGTTTTTTTTTTTTGTTTTTTTGTGTTTTTTTTTGAGACAGAGTCTCGCTTTGTTGTCCAGGCTAGAGTGAGTGCCGTGGCGTCAGCCTAGCTCACAGCAACCTCAAACTCCTGGGCTGCAGTGATCCTTCTGCCTCAGCCTCCCGAGTAGCTGGGACTACAGGCATGCGCCACTATGCCCGGCTAATTTTTTATATATATATCAGTTGGCCAATTAATTTCTTTCTATTTATAGTAGAGACAGGGTCTCGCTCTTGCTCAGGCTGGTTGGAAACAAGTATTTTTACTGGAAGCAAATAGGATCAAACCAAGTACCTAATAAAAGACAATCTAAAGCAAAATTCCACACACACACACAGAAAAAACACACTCAAATAAAGCAATGTTTAAATATTCCTTCCTGGATTTCTCAAAAAACTAAAAATAGAACCACAGTCCAATCCAGCAATCCCACCACTGGGAATCTACCCCCCTAAAAAAAGAAAATCAATAAATAAAAAAAAAGATACCTGCACTGGTATGTTTACTGCAGCATTAGTCACAACGGCTAAGATATGGAATCAACCTAAGTGCCCATCAACAGAGAACTGGTAAGAAAACGTGGTATATATACATGATGGAATACTATTCAGCCATAAAAAAGAAATTGTGTCTTTTGCAGCCACACGGATGGAACTGGAGGCCATTATCTTAAGCGAAACAACTCGGACAAATACCACATGTTCTCACTTATAAGTGGGAGCTAAGTAATGGTACATATGGGAGCAGAATATGGACAATGAAGACTCAAAGGGGGTCAGGGAGATGGATTGGAAGTTGCTTGGTGGGTACAATGTGCATTGCTTTAGTGACTATGTGCTAAAGGCCCTGATTTCACCACAATGCAATGTATCAAGGTAGCAACACTGCACTGTATTCCATGAATATATATGAATAAAT